ACATGTGTGTACACCTGTATCTCTACAAGCATAAATCAGTAATTTCAGACATATGTGTATATATATATATATATAGATATATACATATGTTAGAATTATGTGTTTATATATATATATACACACGAGTATTTACACGTATAATTATGCTTTCAGTTTCTTTGCATCTTTGCATGGAAGTGGGGAGACTGCGCCCACCGTAGCATCGTGCCTCTTCGATCCGATGTCGAGCTCTTCGGAGCTTGAAGCAGAACCTTATTGGCTTAGAAAAAAGAGATCCTTAGAGGGGTCTATAAGGGATCTATAACGGGGTTCTATATTAGGGGCCTAAATAATATCTTATCGGCTGTAAACTAAAGCTTTTCAACTTTTGGGGTTCTTATAAGGTGGTCGATTCTGACAGTTTCAACTTTTATTTCCTTGGGTTTTCGGCCAGTGAGGAACAGCTGCAATCCTGCAGCGACTCGACTTCGTGCACGACTGAACAAGCGACTCTGATCATCCTCTCATTTCGGACGCTTTTTATGTTTTACTATGAGACCCTGCTCCAAAATACTTACCCATCCGATTGCTCAAACTGTGCCAGAGCGTCCGTGAAGTCCGGGGATACGATTATCATCTTTTGGCGACCCGGCACCAAAGAGTTCCTCCAATGGATGTTGAACGAGTGCGCTGACAACTATCCTCTCAAGCTTGGCATTATCTCGAACTCCTTCGCGAAGGAGGACCTTTCAATGATTGAAGGTCTCGGGTCTAGGGGTATGTCTAGCCGTGAGAAGTAGGGTTTATGGGGCTTCGGGGCTGTGGGGTGTTCGAAACCTTAGATAGTGAACGGGGGAACTTTAAACTTTTTGGCCTTATATGTTAGCTCTATCTTTGAAAGTTTGAGCTTTTTGTGGCCCGGTTGCTGAAGAAGAGAGATTTAGGGCTTTTCATTTTGCGGCGGACCAGGACCTTCGCAATGTCATCGTCAGCGTGCTGGAAACGATGCGCTTAGGCCCTCCTTATCATGCACCTGACGGTCTAGTCGTTGCCAACCATGGCAAGCGACCCATGAACATACACTTGTTTGGCTGGGAGCATGTGGACTACGTCATGACAGGGTCTGGATGGAAGCAAACGCCTCGCTGGCGTCCCATTGTGATGCATACCGGCTCGGAAGAAGACCCTGGGCTTTGCAGCACCGTGCTTTGAATTTTTTTGGGCACCTGTTGCCTAAAGGGAACCAGTATGAAATAACAGTCTGTATCCTTTTGCCCTGGTTACTTCAAAGCCCAGGATAAGTCCATGCTCGTCATAGAGTGCACCGGCATCTATGCCGAGATGGACTCGATCAACGCGCTGTTTATTCCCCCGTTTATTCAAGACGTACTGGAAACCTGGGCATGGGATGAAACTTGCGATGAAGAGCTGGAGAAGCTCCGATATTACTTAGACAGATTCTTTTTCAGGCTTCACTGCGAGCGCTTGAGGGATGTCAAAGAACTCCTCGAATGCGAGCAGTACAGTGAGTAGGACAGAAAGTTCAGGGTTCACCAGAAGCTTCGGGATTTGGTTTACCATTAAGCTTTCTGTTCTGCTGGGGCTTCTATGGTTCATGAGCTTTTCGGCGGTGTGTCCGCCATGTTGGATTTAGAGTTCAGAGTTTATTGTATTTAGGTTGTAGGATGTTGAAGGTTTTCCTGTTTTTGGGTGCTTTCAGTTCGGCATGTGCCCACCCTCAAGCGCAAACGCCTGAACACCGAAACTGAATTCTTAGCCTCCTTCAACGTCAATGACATCATGCTTACATACTCCGGGTGCCACCACGAAGAAACTCTATATACTTTATGGAGGATTCCTGAATCAAGGGGTCTTCTTTGGGAGATTCGAAATCCTATCCGAATCCAAAGTCTCGCTTTTCCACGCGAGGATGTGGAAGTAGACCCGAAACCCTAGCCAGAACCTACGGCTTTTTTCGAGTTAGATCCCATAAATGTGGGGTCATAGCCGACTGCAGCCCGAAACCCTTAATCCCTAACCGAGACTCTAAACCCGCACCCTAGACCCTATATACCCTGCACCCTCACCCCTAAACCCTACACCCTGAACGCCCAAACCCTACACCCTTTGTAGGGTTTGATGGCCACTGCAGGGGCCTTAATAGTTAGAGTAGTGTTTTGAGGGTTCCTGTTTGGAATTATTGTATATATTTTAATTTTTAGGGGCCCTACATTAGAAGCTGCCCCCACCCTGTAATAGTGACTACAAGGATTATATTGGGGCCCTATTATATTCCAATTATACCACTATTACAGAATAGGTGCTCCTTCTAAGCCCTATTTTAATTTGTAGGGGCCCCACGTTAGACTGTAATAGTAACTATAAGCTATAAGGATTATATTAGGGCCCTATTATAATCCTACTCTGCCACTATTACAGGGTGGGTGCTCCTTCTACTTGGAGGGTCGGGGGACTTAGTAACTGGTTATTTTATAGACTTATAAGTACCATAACCCCAATTAGGGTCCCTTTCAGGGTGCTTATAAGTCTACTTACTACCTACTTACTAAGTCCCCCGACCCTCCAAGTAAGCCCCACACCACAGGGGCACCGAGGAAGCCCAGGGGCGCGTGTAGAGGTTTGGAGGTTCCCAGAGACTCCAATATCCCCTCATGAAGGAATACCTAGGGCTATAGGGCTCCTTTAAGGGATCCATAGGGTTTAGGGTTGAGGGGGTTCTAACATCCCCTAATTCAGGAATATACCTGAAGGTAAAGTAGGATCCCTAATATCATTTAAGGAAATTCCTTAATTAAGGGATATTGGAGTATGTTGGTTTGAGGCCTGAAAGCTTTGGTGGTTGCGTGTTCTGGCCAGTTTGCTGGGGTTTCGGGCTTGGGGTTTGGTGTTTCGGGCTATTTAGCGAGGGTTTCGGGTTGAGGATTTTGGGCTATTTTGCTCGGGTTTCAGAGCCTTTGCCTTAACTGTCTGGTGCTTAGTAGGGAATGGGGGAATGGTAGTCCCTGTATAATCCCCAATCATAGTCCCCATAATCCATTCCCATTCCCTAGTAAGAACCAGACAGTTAAACAGGCAACTGCGAGAGTCCTTCGGGCGCCGCATGCTTGGCCCGATCCTGACGGCCTACGCAGCCAATGTCGGAGCCACGGAAATCTGTTTTTGGGTTTGGGGTTTCATACTAGTTTAGGGTTTGGGGTTTCAGGGGCTTCATAGGTTTTCTATCGTTGTTATACACTTTCCACTTGTAGGGTTTCCCATCTAACCTTATAAACCCTAAACCCTAAAACCTAAACCCTAAACAATCATAATATGGGGTTTCGCACGGTCTTATGCAGATCGACATGGCTTGTGTTTTTGGACGTTCAGGTACAACGGTTGATGATATGACTCCTGCATTACCCATAGTAAGGAATATGCCATAATTCCCATAGTTTAGGGTCCTTAAGGTAATGCAGGATTTATATCATCCACCGAAGTAGGTATCTGTGGCACCGAGCAGAGTCTGGGCCCCTCAGAATGCTAGGCATGAGGGTTCTGCAAGTTTTTAGGGCCCTAAGCCCTAAAGCCCTAAAGCCCTAAAGCCCTAAAACCCTAAGCCCTAAAACCCTAAACCCTAAACCCTATTCTTTAAGAGCCTAAGCCATGTTCTTTAAGAGCCCTAAGCCATGTTCTTTAAGAGCCTTAAACCATGAACCTTAAACCCATCACCTAAATCCTAGCTGCTTTCGTGGAAGTTTCGCAGGTGAATAATTGGGTGGTTGTCAAAATTATTGTCCCCTTTTTGGGTACCCTAAATATTCGGTGCCGTATTATAATAAGGACCCAAAAAGGGACCCTATTTTTGACAACCACCCAATTAGATTCTGGAGCCGTGCGGCTGCTTTTTCTTGGTCGCAAGGCCGAGCTGACTCCTCATGCTCTTTGACGTGTTCATGAACGAGCTTTTGGAACCCACTTGCACACTTAGTTTCCAAATCCAAGCCAAACCGTATCTAAACAATAAGCCCCCTAAGCTCTCAACCCTTAAACCCTCTCATCTCAGGTGATCCCAGGAGAGCTGTTGGAAGCGCTCCAGCTGCTCATTCTTACACTGGACTTCCAGGTGCAAAGAGCTTTAGGGTTTAGGGTTTGGGGTGACTCTAAGCCCCCTACTTAGAGGTTCAAGTAAGTAGGGTTATAGGTACCTTAGTTAGGGTCGTTATACGTAGATATTACTCCAGATACCTTAAGTAGATACCTGCTTGCTAAGTCCCCTGAACCTCCAACTATCCTTAGATTTCGTCGCTTTCTTCCTATGGGAGGCTAAGGAAGTAAGCCTTAGAACTCTTTCCCTAAGACTTCGTCTAGAATGGACCAAACAGCCTTCTGTCGTAAGGTCTTTGAGCCCAACAGCCTGCAGGCTGGATGTAAATTTGAAACCCTGAACCCGAAACCGACACCGACACACCTAAAACCCTTAAGCCTGGACCCTAATAAAGCTCTAAAAAGCATGATCGCCCCCCCCCCCCTGCGCAACAGAAGCATTCGTAGCCCTGCGCCGTTTGCCTCCTCCTTGTATTCCCTGAAGATTTTCGCGACATTCTGTCCGCAGTACCATAGTCTAATTATTCAGAATTCAGGCCGTCATCATCATGAAGATTTGTCGGTACATTCTATCCGCAGTACCATAGTCTAATTATTCAGGCCCTTATCATCAAGCTTTATAGAACCCGACCCAAGCCCGGTGCAGCAATAACCTAAACCCGCAGCTCCAAACCCAAAGCCCTAAACCCCTAAGCCATCCGAAAAACCCGAAGCCCAGGGCAGAACACCACAAAAATGTTGCGCTGGGCTTCCTGCCCTAATCCCCTAATCCCTAAACCCCTAAACCCCTAAACCCTAAACCCCCCCCCCCCCCCCAAAAAAAAGAAACCTAAACCCTACACCCCGAACCCTGCCGGGCTTCCCCGCAGCTATTTTTGAAAGTCTGCCGCTCGTGACTGATTGGAGCCTTCGAGACGATGTTGCGCGTAGGCCGCACCCGGACCGCACGACTATAGGGGCTCAGGGTTCCTTTTAAGGGATCTATGAGGTTTAGGGTTTATTAGGGGTCTTAATAGTAATCCTAGGGGCTCAGGGCTCCTTTTGGGTAGTTGTCAAAATTACGGTCCTTTTTTGGATCACCTAAATAATAGGTGCCTTATTACAATAAGGAGTTAAATAGGGACCATAATTTTGACAACCACGCTTTTAAAGGGTTCCTTGAAAGGAATCTATGAGGTTTAGGGTTTATCAGGGCTACTACAAGGGCTGTTATAAGGATTTACTATAGGGGCCTTGATAGTAATCCTAGGATTCCGTTTGAAGGGTTCCTTCAAGGGGTCTATAAGAGATCTACAATAGGGTTCTACATTAGATTAAGTCCCTTAACAAGAACCCAGTTTAGGGTTTAGGGTCGAAAGGTCTAGGGCTCAGTGCTTTGAAGTCCTTTGGTCAGACAAAGGCGGTGGTTTTCAGGATAAAGGGCTCCTGCAAGGGTTCGTTTGGGGCTTCCTTTAAGGGCTCCGTGAAAGGGAACCCTACTACCTGTTATATAATCCCATAGTACCCTTAAGGGGAATCCTGTTATGAAACTTTGTGGTATCTTTGAAGGTTCTGCAAGGTTTACGTAGGGGTTTAGTGCTGTGCTCTGGGGTTTGAGGCTTTCATCTAGGGCTTAGGGCCTGCACCAGTTGAATTCTAAACTCCTTGCGGCCTACTCCCTAAACCCGGAGCCCGATACCGCATACGCGAACCCCCAAAACCCCTTAGCCCTGCATTTCCTCACCGAAGAATAAGTATAGTCTACAAAACCACGGAACCCTCGTCTAAGTATCAAGGCACCTATGTTCCCCTAAACCCGAAACCCTTAACCCCTAAACCAAACCCGAAACCCTAACCCCTATACCCTAATGTTCAACTACCCTGGTTCTAGAACTCACTGAGGCATCAACTGCAGACCCTAAACCTCTAAACCCTACTCCTTGAACCCAAGTCCCTACCTGGACCCTAAGGAACCTGCCTTTTCAGGGTTCCCTAATATGATTTCTTTATATAAGTCCCTAAAAAGGGTAGGTTACTTGGGGTTAATGCAAACTCTAAACCCTAATCCCTACTTAAAGGATCATGGGACTTAGTAACTAGGGTTATTATTGGGGTAACTATACTTATAATTACTTATAACCATAATTGAGGGACTTATAACTATAGTTACTAAGTCCCATGATCCTCCAAGTATATTCTAGTACCCTTATAGTATCCCTTATAGTAACCCCTTTAAAGGAACCCTGGGAACCCTCAAGTAGACCCTGGATCCTGAACCCCGAACCCCCAGAAGTCCCTGAGGCAGCTTGGCGTTCCTCTGATTGACTAACCATTGACTAGGATACCCTAGGGTAATCAATTAAGGTACCTATAACCCCACGTACTAAGTCACCTGAACCTCCAAGTAGTACTACTCAGGGTACCCTTGCTGTCCGCGACTTCCGTTTCCTAGGATACCCAGTAACCCAAGAATAAAAAGGCCTCTCTTTTTGGCACTGGGTAACTTTATAAGGAACCTAGGACTACAAAAAGGGAATAAGGGTACTACTGGGCATCCTAGTTGATATCGGAGGAGCTAAGGAGCCAGGGATGATGATAATCCCTAGTAAGTAAGGAGCTAGAGAGCCAAGGGAACCCCAAAACCACTGCTTTGTTGACCCTTAGGACTTTAACTTTCGGGGTTTCCATATGAACTGCAGCAAGTAGGTTAAGCTTAACTTTTAGCTTGAACTTTCTGGGTTTGCATATGAGCTGAAACCAGTAGGTTAAGCTTAAACTTTTAGGTGTGCCTCAAGACTTGCTGGAGGTTGTTCAGCTTAGATTGTCTGAACCGAGACTAAGCCTGATCCTCCGGACACACAATGGGTCCCTTAGATAGTGAACGGGGGAACTTTAAACTTTTTGGCATTATATATTAGCTCTATCTTAGAAAGTTTGAACTGTTTTGGGCCCGGTTGTTGAAGAAGAGAGGTCCGGTGTGGCGAAAAACTCACGGCTTTGCCTGAACTACGGCCTGAACTTTGATCTCGAGGCAGCCAAAGCCCAGCAGGCTGTCGAGACTGATGACCGCGTGAAGAGGTTTCGAGACCCTAAACCCTAAACCCTAAACCGTGGTGCATTGGATGCTGTTTTGGCCAAGGGCGCCCAGGCGTCGCAAGGACTGACAACCAAGGTGAGTGAGGCAGTGCTTGTGCCAGCCAAGCCAGCTGCCACCCTGGCGCCTCTCCCAGCACCTAGCCTAAAGCCTCCTACGCCGCCGACACCGACGCCACCTGCTGCTACCCGCCCTAAACCCTAAACCCTAAACCCCAAACCCTAAACCCCAAACCCTACTTGGAGGCTCATGGGACTTAGTAAGTAAGGTTATAAGTAGGTTATACTTAGGATAACCCCACTTAGGGGACTTATAACCCCACTTATAACCTACTTACTAAGTCCCATGATCCTCCAAGTAAACCCTAAACCCTCAACCCCATAGATCCCTTTAAGGAACCCTATAGATCCCTTTAAGGAGCCCTTTAAGAACCCCAAATCCTAAGCCGAGGCATCGTCAGCCACATCAATGCGGGACTCTCTCCCCAACCGACGTCCAGCGACTCACCAGTCGTGGCGGATCTGAAGGCGCAGTTCAATGCATGGTAGGCTACTATTTGCTTAAGAACCCCCCCAAAAAATGTATTCCTTATAGGGATAATACAGGGATTATCATTTTTTTTAATTTTTTTGGGGGGTTCTTAAGCAAATAGTAGTAGGGGTTTTAGGGTTTAGGGCTTGGGGCTAGGGTTTAGGGGTTTAGGGGTTTGGGGTTTCGGGGTTTCGTTTTTAGGGTTTAAGTTTAGGGTGTGGAGGTTTTGGGGTTGGGTGTTTGGGTTCAATGTTGGAGTCTCTGGGGGTAGACTAGGTAGGGCTTTGGGACATTTGTTATTGCTCTTATTGCGCTTAAGAGGATCTTACTTTCTAATATTTTCTCAAAGGCTTGAAACGCACCTCCTACGATTGATGATATAAACCCTGCATTTCCCATAATAAAGAATTTGCCATCATTCGCGAAGTTTAGGGTCCTTAAGGTAATGCGGGATTTATACCATCAACCGGAGTAGAGGCATGTTCTAAATCGGGAAGCTTTCGGGTGCTCTGCATTCAGGGCTAAGTGTGTTTGGTTTGGGGTTTCATTAGGGCTTAGGAGTTTCAAAGGTTTAGGGGTTACCCTAAACCGGAAACCACCTAAACCCCTACCGTTTAGGGATTTACGGGTTACCCTAAACCCTAAACCCCCAAAACCCCCTCAAGTTTAGGGGTTAAGGGGTTACCCTAAACCTTACAAACCCCTAAACCCCCCTAAAGTTTTAGGGTTTAGGGGTTTTTAAACCCTATAAACCCCTCAAAAACCCCTAAAGTTTAGGGGTTTAGGGGTTCAGTGTTTTTTGGTAGAACTTGTGGCTCGAGGTTCGCTGTGAGCGGCAGCATTTTGACCCGGGTGAGTAAAGAAGCCTGCTGTTCCCTAGAGCTCCGTCAGTTTGAGTACTTGGAGGCTCATGGGACCTAGTAACTTTATAGGGTTCCTTAAAGGGCTCCTTTAAAGAGATCTATAGGGGTTCTATAAGAGGGGTTTTAGGGTCTACTTACAGGATCATGGGACTTAGTAAGTAACCTTATAAGTAGGTTATACTTAATATACTTGGAGGCTCATGAGACTTAGTAAGTAAGGTTATAAGTAGGTTATACTTAGGATAACCCCACTTAGGGGACTTATAATCACACTTATAACCTACTTACTAAGTCCCATGATCCTCCAAGTATGATCTATTCCTACGCAGTTTTAAGGAGACCCCTTAAGTGGGACCCTTCTTAACCCTACTTCTGGCTCTCTCAAAAGGGACCTTATTCAGAGGGTCTATATCCAAACGGGTCCGAAAAATCATCCTAGAAGCCATAAACTTGACCTAGACATGTTGAAGGGCCCGTAACACAAAAACCGCAAGGAAATTTCAAGAGCTGTGGCTTGAGGTTTCAACGGGTTCCTGCTATAAGGGTTAGTATAGGGGCCTGTATAACTGATCAGGAACGCTATGGAATAGTATTACCACTTATTCAGTCCCCTCTATTACAGCCCCAGTTTGGAAGGAAGACAAGCTGTCTGATCGACTCAACCGACGGCGATAAGGGCGCAGGGCTTGGTTTAGGGTTTAGGATGTAAGGTTTAGGGTCTAGGGTTTAGGCTTCGGAGAGTTTTATCAAGGGCTTACGGATCATGGAGATGTAGACGACTATTCAACAGAAGCTGCAGAACCGCGGAAGTTCTTAAGACATAACACGGTTTAGTGTTTAGTCAAGACGCCCTGGGTTGTAAGAAAAGAGGGGCCCCAAAATGTTATTCATGCTTAAGGACCCAGGAGCAAAGTACCACAGAGGCTGAGGAACCTCATTTAAGAATGTATATATGAATAATGCCTCGACACTGACACCCCAACCTGCGCGGGGAGGCCAAGATTGCCAAGCTGGCGAAGGAGAAGACCGCGTTGAAAGCAGACTTGCTGAAGAACCACGGCGACTCAGCATTGAAAAGCTTCAACCCATAAGCCTTAAACCCCTAAACCCCCCAAGCCCCAAAACCTAAGCCCAGCCCCAACGCCCCCCCACCCTCATGGTCGGGCGAGTTCTTCAATCCGAGTCCCAACCCTACGGTTCCAATCTGAGACTAGATTTAGGATTTAGGGTTTAGGGTTTAGGGTTTAGGGTTTAGATGTCTATAGAAGCCCGAACAAATAGGGTTTAGGGTTTAGGGTTTAGGGTTTAGGGTTGCACCAAGTTATCCACTTACCCCGCAACCTCCTTCAAATTTTGCGCATGCTCGTAGACTTTATTAAAGCCCCTATCCGGCCAGCCCACGGCTTGGAGTGACAAACTTCAAGATGTAGTGACCTGCTATAGGTCTAAGCCATTTACAGGTGGGTAGTTTTAAGGTGGGTAGTCTCCCATAAGCCTTCCATACCACTCCTATAAGGTAAAGGGGTCTTATGGGAGTACTATGGAAGAGGAACTACCCACCTGTAATGGGCTTCTAATAGGGGTCTAAATCATTACCTATACCAATGTTGGGGGTTCCTTGACATAACTCCAGTATAATGTACCCCCCCCCAAACCCTGTTCTTATGATTAAGACCCCTACAATAGTGTTTGGGGCTAGGGTTTAGGGTTGAAGGTCTAGGTAGGTGTTAAGGTTTCCCACAACCGAGCTGATATATATATATATATATATATATATAAACCCTCGTTCTTCAATGGCTGACTTGTCTATAGGAAAACGGTGGGGCTTCAGGAGCGTGGGCATTTCACCCAACCTAGGATGCCCAGTAGTACCCTTATTCCCTTTGTGTAGTCCTAGGTTCCTTATAAAGTTACCCAATACCAAAAAGAGAGGCCGCCTTTTTATTCTTAGGTTACTGGGTAACCTAGCAACATGACAGGTAACCAGCCAAACGCCAGAAAACATACAAACCGGCCCAAGGCACACACACACACAAAATCATCCGAACCCCCTCGAAACCCACCCGCCGTTCAACAACCCTTTCCACCCACCCTGATATACCCTAAACCCGATATAAACCCTAAAAAGATATACCCTAAACCCTAAACGATATACCCTGAACCCTAAAAAGATATACCCTAAACCCTAAACGATATACCCTGAACCCTAAAAAGATATACCCTAAACCCTAAACGATATACCCTGAACCCTAAAAAGATATACCCTAAACCCTAAACGATATACCCTGAACCCTAAAAAGATATACCCTAAACCCTAAACGATATACCCTGAACCCTAAAAAGATATACCCTAAACCCTAAACGATATACCCTGAACCCTAAAAAGATATACCCTAAACCCTATACGATATACCCTGAACCCTAAAACGATATACCCTAAAATCTATACGATATACCCTAAACTCTAAGCCGCCCCTTAACCGAAGCCCAAGGCGACCGGAAGATTCAGGACCTCACAGTCGAGACCCGCGGCCGACCTTAGGGGTGCTTGGAGGGGCGGGGGACTTAGGGGCCCTAGGGTTCCCTTTAAAGGGCTCCTTTTAAAGGGGTCTATAGGTTATTTTAAGGACTTATAAGTACCATAGCCCCAATTAGGGTCCTTTTTAGGGTACTTATAAGTCTACTTACTACCTACTTATTAAGTCCCCCGAGGGGGGTGGGGAAGGTAAGGAGTTACTTGCCTTCGTTTAGTAGGGAATGGGAGAATGGTAGTAATTGTAGTTATAAGAGGTTAGGGGTTTAGGGGTGGGGGTTTGGGGTTTGGGGTTTGGGGTTTAGGGTGGGGGGTTAGGGGGGTTTGGGGGTTTAGGGGTTTAGGGTTTAGGGTTGAGGGGTTTAGGGTTTGGGGGTTTTAGCGGTTTAGGTGTTTGAGGTTTAGGGGTTTAGGGCTTTGGGGTTTTGGGGGGCTATTACTACGCCACGCCACATAGTTCCCGCCACCTACGACCCCAATGAAGGCCCTTATACCACTGCTGCTGGGCCTCTTGACCCTTGATGTACTTTCAATTGCCAAGCCCTGTGATCTTGGAGTGCCCGGGAGCTTTGTCAATGCACTACTTGGAGGGTCGGGGGACTTAGTAAGTAGGTAGTAAGTAGACTTATAAGTACCCTAAAAGGGACCCTACTTGGGATTATGGTACTTATAAGTCTATACAATAACCAGTTACTAAGTCCCCCGACCCTCCAAGTAAGTCTTTTGATCCTCCAAACCCTAAACCCTAAACCCTAAACCCTAAACCCTGAACCTCGGAGCCCCAAACCCCAGACCTCTATAAATCCCTGAAGGGGACCCAGTAAACGAAGCCTTAAAGGCGGAACCCTTAAAGGAACCCTCAAAGCAACCCATTGAAGGATACTCCTTAAAAGACCCAGTGCTACTTGGAGGATCATGGGACTAAGTAGAGTTATAAGTACCGTAATTGGGGCCACAAGTGATTATCACTGTAGTTGCCTTACTTATGAGGCCAATTATTAAGTCCCCTGATCCTTCAAGGAAGTCTGCTGAACTTCCAAGGATGGCCATCAACGGCGCGCGGGCTGTCAAGTGCATGGTCACGGAGCGCCGGGGGGTTTGGTTGAGGGTTTAGAGTTTAGGGTGTAGGATGTAGGATTTCGGGTGTAGGGTGTAGGGTTAGGGTGTACGGTGTAGGGTTAGGGTGTAAGATTTAGTGTTTAGGGTTTAGGGTCTAGGTTTTAGGGTGTAGGGCGGAATCCTGGGCCTAGGCTTTTGGGGCGCGGTATTCTGTGGCAGGATTCGGGTGTTTAGGGTTTAGAGTGTTCAGAGTCTACTTGAAGTTCTTCTGGTTGACTCTTAGTGAACCCCGAAATCGGTAACCATAGACTTCCATCCCAAATCCCTTCTACTTGCAGCCTTTGCAAAGCCCTACTGGCCTGGCATAAAGCCAGGAGGAGGATCGTAACAACGGCAACCCTAAACCCTAAACCCCAAAACCCTAAACCCCCAAACCCTAAACCTTAAACCCTAAACCCTAAGCCCCTAAACCCTAAACCCGAAAAAGCTGAAAAAGGGACCCTGGCTCAATCATAAAGACCTCCTGGCAAATCACTGGAGCTCCAGTTCTTATTGGCTGTAAACTCAACTTTTCAATTTTTGGGGTTCTTATAAGGTAGTCGGTTCTGAAAGTTTCAACTTTTATTTCCCCAGACCGTAAACCCTAAAAGCCACAAAAGCCCTGATTGCCATAATCCTAAAAGCCCTAAGCTTAAGAAGACCCCAGCTTCGAAAGGAGACCTCCGACCTGGACGCCAACACCGGGATCAGCTACCGGCACCTTTCCCTGTACGATGTGAACAAGGACTTCAGGGTTTAGGGGCTCAGGGGTTTAGGAGTTTAGGAGTTCAGGGTTCAGGGGCTGAGGGGTTTAGGAATTTCGGGTTTAGGGTTCAGGCGCTGAGGTTTATTCAGGGTTTCGGGTTTGGGAGTTTAGGGCTTAGGGTTTAGTGTTTCGGGCTTAGGAGGTTAGGTTTAGGGTTAGGGGCGAGAGTTTAGGGTCTTGGACCCCAAATCCCTGTAGTTCAGGGGATCCTTCGGACGATTTGCCCTAAACCCTAAACTCTAAGCTCTGAGCCCTAGACCCTAAACCCTATGCGTACTCACAGCACTTTGTAGGTTCTGGGAAGCTTGCTTGGCGACTGTCTGGGACTTCGGGGATTTAGTGGCTTAGGAATGTTTCTGGGGTTTGGAGTTTAGGCGTTTTGGACATATAGGACTTAAGGTAGGAAGTTCGTAAACCTCAGGAATGGTTCTGGGGTTTGGAGTTTAGGCTTTTTGGACATATAGGACTTAAGGTAGGAGTTCGTAAACCTCAGGAATGGTTCTGGGGTTTGGAGTTTAGGCGTTTTGGACATATAGCACTTTGGTAGGGGTTCATAAAGATTGAACCTAGGCATTCATGTTGCCTCGCAGGGTGGGGCTTTACGGGGTTCTGCATTTCGATCGAGTCTTTTTGGGATGTTCATAATTTTTTTCTAGGATTTCCGGCTCAAGGTCGGTGTCGGGTTGAGGATTTAGGGTTAGGGTGTAGGGTTTAGGGTTTAGGGAGGTTTTGAAGTTCGGGTGTTTGGGCTTTTTTGCAGGTTTCGTACGGTACTGTAGTTTTTGGACCTCAAAATTATTCCAACGATCAGGGGGCTTAGTAAGCAGGGTAATAAATACCAGCAATATTGGCTATGAGTAGATAAACTACAATTACCTTAATTATAACCTTACTTACTCAGGCCCCGGAACCTCCAAGTAGAATTCCTGTCATATCATAATCCTTCCTCAGAGAGTAGCCTGTGAATCAGGTGTCGACGTTACCCAGGCCCAATTCCAACATCTTGCCCTTCGGCTGTGACGCTCAGCCTATACCCTAAACCCTACACCCTAGCTCTAAGAGTGATAAACCCAGACCATACAGACCGGACCCACAGACCCCACATTCCCAACCCTTAAAAATACACTCCCAAGCACCCGAGCCCTCAACTTAAGCCTTAAACCCTAAAGCCCTAACGCCCAGAAGCCCTAGACACTCAAGCATAAATCACCTAAACCCAAACTCTAAACTCTGAACCCCAAACGTCAAAACCCAGCAGCCTATTTCCTAAAACCCTAAACCCAAAATCCTGAACGCTAAATCCTAAAGCCCACTACATTACACCACAAACTAAACCCTCCAAGCAACCTGGTTTCTACTAGCGGGAGCACATGCTGACACAAGCGCGCGATAAGTGGGCGCGCCCCCCCCCCCCCTTCTTTAACCCGAAGCCCCAAACCTTAACAAAGGGGGTGTGTGGCATGGCAGAGGAGCTACCGAAGGCCCCAGGTGGCAAGTGCGCCCTTCCCGAGGCTTCAGTTTTAGTTCAGGGTTTTTTGGAGGGTTTAGGGCTTCGGGTTTAGGTTTTTGGAGGGTTTTGGGCTTAGGGCCTAGGGTTTGGTTGGGTTTAGTGACTTTGCTTCGGAGAGGTGAGTTTTAGAGTTTTAAGTGGGTCTTATGACGGTTCCTGTAGTAAGGGTTCCTTCATGCATGCAGAAAGTTTTTGTGTGGTTTGCAGGGTGTCCGTGAGGGCGTAGTAGGGAGAGGGCGAGTAAAGAAGATCCCTAAACCCTAAACCCTACGCCCCTAAACCCTAAGCCATAAACCCAAAACCCTAACCCCTAAACCCTTAAACCCCTAAACCCCGAAGCCCTGCCCTTTCCCCCCAAAATTCCTAAACGTTGTGTTCAGTTTTTGCATTTTTGTGCTCTCCACGCTATAGGAAGTGCCGGAGATGACAGAGGTAATGCTGATACGGTCTCCAGCGGCCGGAAGCAGAAGCCGCGGCACACGAACAGCACCACCCACGTAAAGCTCCCAAGAGAGTGGACAGCCAGGACCAGCGGCTGCTGTGCTTATAGCTCTCTGCGACCATGTCCTCCCGCAGGAAGCCAGGTCCTAAGAAGATCTCTTTGCTTCGCCCTTCAGCCTCGGGAGGCAGCAGTGTGCAGTTGCAGAAGTGCTTTTCTGATGTTACGTATATTCGTCCACTGGATCATGCGTAACAGCCAGCAGTAGCTCATTGAGGACCTGCTGTTCATGGTTCGACAGCCGGTTTGCTTGTCTAAAACTCGAATCTCTATTCCCATGCGTCGCAAGGAAGGTGCATTCCTTGCAAAGCAGACGGATTAGATCTTGTCCTTGCTACAGGAAGGGTTTCTGCGAGACTTGTCAAGGCAAGAAGCGGTTTCGGGAAACCTGCCTCGTCGACTCCCTGCGAGCTGGGCTTGCAGGTTCCCTGTTGTGGAGACGGTCCGTTTTGGGCGCTGAATGACGGCAAAAAATGTTGAATCCACTCGGGCACTTTGGCAAACTCGTTTCAATGGCTGCATGTGATGGAAAAAGTTTTCCATGACATCAAGGTACGACATCAAGGAAGTCAGCAAGGTCAGTCAACCAGGAACGTTTCTCCTGTACGACCGCAAGAACACGCACTTTACTGGTCTACGCGGCGATGGTTGTTGTTTGCTGAGCAGGACACATCGACCACTAGACGGCCTCGCGCTTGATTTGGCTGGAGCAACTGCCAATTGTGAGTACGTGCAAAGTGCAGAGCGCTTCTTAAGATACAAGTCAGATGCGAGTCTGGCAACTAAAACAAAATAAAAAGGCCACCTCCTATGCAGAGAATTTTTGACACTGGCTTTGGAGTTGCCGATCAGATGATGGACCCTTCAGGAAACAATGCCCCTGCAAGAGAGCAAATTTGAGGCTTCTGGGATAGAGATTGGCTAGCCGATCAGTAGCCTTAGATGCTGAAGGAATTAAGGAGCTGGAGCATGAACACCCCTGCGCATACTGGAGATTTTTCTTTCCAAGTTTGTCGGTTGATCACCTGGGTGTGCGTCTGATCATGAACGTTTCGCACCAATTTCAAGTGTAAATAAATGGTTTCCGTGGCTTCTCACATGGCCCCGGTCCGTTTGACGTAATTGAGAGCAGTGAGGGAACATGCCTCGTTTAGAGTACCTTCTCCCTACTTGTGCCAGCGCTGGTTTCTTTGTTGCTCATTTCGATTGTGACTTGCCAGTCTTTGTTCGGCATGCTTGGTTTAGGTTTTGTCTTCACTATTACGCTGCGCCGGATGTGCGAGATGCGCCGCATGTGCAAACCCGCGCTTGGCTGGAGGCTCGCAAGTGACACGAGGACTGAGTGATACAGTGTCTGATGGTGGCTGTGTGATGAACAGGAAACGTCCGGGGCTCCATCGGCCAAGCAAAATGATGCTGCAACGGCTGTTTATGGCTTGGTCATCTCTCCTCCGGCAGCCCAATGTGCAAACCGCACCATTGGCGAAAAAGCACTTGCAGAGCAGCGTGCGGGGTCAAGCCATTTGGAGTTGTAGAGTTTCTTGTCGTTTTGTGCATCAGGTGTTCATCCATGCTATTGCCAATGCTGACGATCGATATGTTGTCTATGGGCACGAATGCATGGCTACAACTCCTCGAATGGTGCATTTTCCGCATCCTGCTTGCTTCGTATGCCATACGTTTGTTGTTGCTTTTTCCAGGTGTGCTTTAGCACAGAACCTGCATTGGCACGAATGATTCATTGATAAGAAGCAGCGCTGCTTCCTAAAGTAGCATAATACTGCTGCGGCAGCTTGAGCGGCCTGAAGTTGGCCTGCCATAATGCGCGGCGCTGCACAGATCAATGCGTGTTCCAGCGCAGGCATGCCCTGCTTGTCTAGTGTGCATTGTAGATCCATTTATAGAACCCTTGAAGGAACCCTATTCTCACTAGACGCTATTATGGAGGACCCGGGAGTCGGGCCAAGACGCCTAAACTCCCAGCCTCTGAGGGTCCTTTTAAGAGTACCTTGCAGGGTGCTGTAGGTATTCTATAACGGTACGACAGGTCTTCGGCTTAAGGGATTTAGCGGTCTCGGCGCTTAGGGTTTAGGGTTTCAGGCTTTGGGGGATTAGGGTGTGCCCGTCGATTCCCAAGCATTCCCGAGCACAGACGCACCTCAACAAACACGTTCAGCTCAAACCCTGAAGAAGACACTAAACCGTCTCCACGGCGTCTCCACGGCGTCTCCACGGCGTCTCCACGGGCCCCATGAAGCCTAAGCCCGAAGACTAAACCCGAAACCCCAAACAACCCGTTCGGACGGAAAGCTGCCCTTAAAAAACAAACAACCCCCTAAACCCTGAACCATAAACTTAAACCCCAAAGCCTAAACGCTAAACCAAACCGTACCACGGCCCCCTTATAACGAGGGTGCCTTCTGGCTTCTGCTGACTGGGGAAGTCCCCACCGAGCTGGAAGTGAAGGCCTGACTTGCGAGTGATTTCTATAGGGTTTAGGGATTTTTACCGAATAGTTTGGGGGTTTAGGTTTATGGAGTTTAGGGTGTAGCGAATACGTTTGGGGGTTTAGGGTTGAGGGTTAGGACGTAGGTTTTTGAGAGTTCCAGTTCTGATTCATGAACCTAAACCCCGAAATCTTAAATCTTCAAACATGGACTCCAATATAGCTGCTGGAACTATATAGGAGTGTTTTTGAAGGTTCCTGAGTTCAACATTTACGGATCCAGATTTAGGATCCAGGTTTAGGAGCCAGGTTGTCTGGGTTTAGGGTGTATCATTGCGTTTTGATACACACCCAAAACTTTGTTCTCATGATGCAGGCTTTTACATTACACCCTAAGCCGCGAGCCCCACCGCTCAAACTCCACCCTAAACCCAAAGCCGTTGAGCCTGAACCCTAAATCCTTGACTGTAAACCTTTAGCCCTAATCGCCCCGAAACCTACACCCGCGGTTTCTGCAAGTCTGAAGGGCCTAAAGCTACGGTTTCTGTTTTAAGGTTTGGGAAGTAGGGTTTAGGGTTTAAGACTAACCCGAAGCCTCTGAAGGACGTTGGTTGAGGGTGTAAAACCCCGTATCAAAACCTGTCTGAAACCCTGTAAAGCCCTATGAAACCCCTGTAAAGTCGTCAGAAAGGGCCACATACAAAACTCTTCCAAAGCATTGTGAAACCCTAAGCTGAAGCAACAGCCTCTAAGCCCCACCCTTGAGCTAGGACCCCTGAAGTTCAGCCGCTTCAGACCTATTGGAGAGTCCCCCAGAGAAGGTTGTTACCAAGTTTTTGTTTTAGGGATTAGGGTTTAGGACTTTATAACGGTGTGGTACTGTTTCCAAGTGTGGTTTGCGGAGCCGTGCGAGCTGATGGGCCAGTCCTGTCAGCGAAGGCGAGGCGGACAAGTGATAACCACACACTGCTACACACCACCACCACCACCACCACCACCACCACCACCACCACCACCACGACAACAACAACAACTTCTACTACAACTACTACTGCGGCTACTACTACTACTACTACTACTACTACTACTACTACTACCACTACTACTGCTTCTGCTACTGCCTGCTGCCAGTGCTTGGCATTGTGGCAGCAGAGGGTGCGACCGCAGCAAAGCCGGCGAAGGCCGTCAACTCCAGGACTCATAGGAGGCCAAAAGGGGTTTTAGCCTGTGGGGGTTGGGTAGGGATTAGGGTTCCCATAATCATGTTCATCTAGGATGCCCAGTAGTACCCTTATTCCCTTTTTGTAGTCCTAGGTTCCTTATAAAGTTACCCAATACCAAAAAGAGAGGCCTTTTTATTCTTAGGTTACTGGGTAACCTAGTCATATTAAGGAATCCCTACCCCAAGAATCTTAAACCCCCCTTTTGGCCTCGGGCTCCTTTAAGGGATCCTATGAGGGATCCTGTAAGGGTTCTTTTAAGGGGCCCTATGAGGCTCTTTGCGGTTTTGGGGTTTAAGGGTTTAGGGTTTTAGGGTTGCGAATTTGGGGCTTAGGGTTTTTAGGGTTCAGGGTTTTAGGGTTTAGGCTTTGTAGGGGTGCGGTCAAGAAGGGGGACGCAGCGAGGGTGAAAAGCCTCCACGAAAGAGTCAACGCCCCACACCGGCAAGAGTGGTGAAGGTGGACAATTGGTCAAGGTTGTGGTGCCAGACCACCTTTTGGCCTAGTAGTCGAGTAGGCAACCTTTATTTTTTTCTGGGTAGTATACTCCCTATATAATCCCTATATAACCAAAAAGGTTAACCTTTAGTTCCCCATGATACCGACAAGTAGGTTAGCGTGTCGTTGAGTCGGTCACTTCCAGGAAGAGAGAAGGTCTTTGTTAATGCAGGTTTCGACTAGCAAGCCCCATTGTTTTGGCTCTTTGTTATCAGGATTGCACTTGCATCTCAGCCCTTCAAACCCCAAACCTGCTTGAGAGGAAGGGAATGTGTGGAATGTGTTGGTCAGGGGGTTCTGCTAGAAGCCGTGGTGTATCGGAGTCTCGCCGATTTTGCCACTCGTTGCATCCGAAACCCCTAAACCTTGACCCCAAACCCCAAACCTTAAACCCTAAACCCCGAAACCCTAAACCCCAAACCCTAAACCTGAAGCCCGTAAACCCTAAACCCCAAACCCCTAGACCCCAAACCCTAAACCCCACCCCCCGAACCCTAAACCCCTAGACCCCTAAACCCGAAACCCCAAACCCGATCCCTTCGTCAGGGCTTGACGGAAGAGTTGCACAAGCGCGCAACAATCCCACCGACTCTCGGCTAGTATTGCATCGAACCCCAAATCCTCACTCCTAAACCGGAGGGTGGGAGGGGGGTTGAGGTCTTCTCCGGTGTCTACTTTAGGGTTAGATCCGATTAAGCTTGCATGTTTAGAGTTTGCACTTGCCTTCGAATCCAAAGGTTCAGGGGAGTAGGGTTCTGCGGCTTCAGGGTTTGACATTCAGTGGTATGAAATGCAAGTGGCAGTAGGATTTAGGGCTATAGAGTATTTTAATGAATGGTACAATAGCAATGTCACCAAGCAGCACGTATTGCGGATGTTGAGCTTGGCAGCTTGTTGTGATTTGAAACACGATTCCCGTCTCTCCTGTGCGTTTGATTTGCCTTTGCTCCCCTCACCCTTGGCCCTAAGCCTTGTGTAAGCCTCAGGAATTGAGTGTCTCCAAATGGCCAAATTGTATACGTATCTTCCAAAAGCTCCGTGAAACCTTGAGCTGGCCCTAAACTACAAACCCTAAACCCAAAAACCGCCCAAGTCTTTGCTTTGCTTATTCTTGCCAGTGACTGGTGTAGGGTGGTTTAGAGTTTTTCAAAAGGAGGGGAAGAGCAAGTTTCAAAGCTGGGGTCGCAGAGTTATATCGCCCAGGTGTAAAGCCACTTTAATGCAACAAACTTCTTTGCTGCTGCTAGCACTACGATTACAACTGCCTTCAAACTGTTGTGGATTTACGGCCAAGCCCTGAAAAGGAATGTGATGGCAACGATTGACTCGCTGCCCATCGAGACGCACCCGATGACGCAGCTTTCCGTCAGCATGCTGGCGTTGCAGAAGGACCCCGGACCACGGGCTTGCAGGTGCTTGGGTCGGGGTTTAGGGAGGGTATGCAGGGCTGAAAGCCCTAGTATGGAGGCCTAAATGACTGGGTAGTCGAATGTTTCGGTAGGGGAGGGGGTAGAGTGAATATGGTGTGAGGACACCCAACGAATAGCATTTCTATTTATTCAGGCAGCTGTGGTGGTTTTCGGTCTTGGGTTACGGAGGGTGTGGAAAGGTCGAAGCCCCTCTCGAAGGTGTGCTCGGAAGTTCGAGTTACGTACAGTCGACTTTACAACCAAGGTTGTTTTCCCCAAACAGCGTGGTACACACTATGGGATTCTCGCATAAAGGCTCTAGGGTTAGTGTCCCCTGCACGCGCGCAGGCGCACCTGTGGCGGCGAAAGGCAACCAGCTTTCACCCACGTCCATTACGCACACAGTCGCGGTGCGGACGAGTCCTCCGCAACGTACAGATCATCGTAACATCCATCGCGCTGGCCTTTTTCTCGGGAGCGCCGAAATGCTGCCAGTATACGGGGGGTGTGCATGCGCACGCAGTGTGTGTGTGTGTGTGTGTGTGTGTGTGTGTGTCGGATGCTCGTGATGTACTCGCTGCAAGGTACTTCACTGTTCGGGGGTCTATGCAGGCACAGTTACACTGAGAAGAGATGTAATGTCTATATGCCTGTATGTATGTGTCTGTGCGTGTCTGTATGCATGTATGTACGAACACACATGTGTATATACCTATATATGTGCATATTCATGCACATACGTACATACATACATACATACATACATACATACATACATACATTCACACACACATATGGATATATGTATATATATATATATATGTATATATGTGTGTGTATATATATATATATATATATATATGCGCAGTACAGATCTATATATGTATATTATGTATACCTTTATGGATGCACACATGTACATATGCATGTATGTAACTAGAGGTGCCGGTTGGTATTGATATTTGTACATACATATATATGTACACATCCATGTGTATGTATTCGTATATGTATGCATGCATGCATACATATAGACATGTATACATATGCCTATATACCGGCCAAGTCAAGTTACCTAGCTCATAGTCATAGCAAGTGCGGGGGCGGGGGGCGGGGTACACCCCAAACCCTCAACCCTCAACCCTAAACCCGAAGCCCTTAACGCTAAACCCTAAACCCTAAACCCGAAGCCCTTAACGCTAAACCCTAAACCCTAAACCCGAAGCCCTTAACGCTAAACCCTAAACCAACCCCAACCCAACCATGAGCCCGAAGACGCCACACCTCGAGACCTTAGCTGGGTGTGGGGTTGAGGGTTTTGGGGTTTTGGTTTAGGGTTTAGGGTTTAGGGTTTAGGGTTTAGGGATCTAGGCTCCTGAGTAGTACTTCGCACCCTTTTGCCCTTTTTGTTTTGAGGTTACTTATTCATTCAAACATAATAGTACGAAAAAGGGTGCCCTTACTGTTAAGGGGCTACTGAGGAGTCCTAGTCACATAGAAGCCTAATAATAGTTCGCAGAAGTACAGTTTACATATATATATATATAGCAAGACCCCGTCCCAAAAAAATCGGCCACATATTATGATATGAAGATAGCAACTGAAGCCGCAGGACTCCAAGTTTATGCAGAAGTACAATGCTGGCATGAAGAAGGACGAGTACTGGCAGTACGCACTGGAGGACCACTCAAAGCTAAGTGTAGTACAGGGGTTTGAATAATTAGGTACAGCCTTCCTTACGTAACCTATTATAACTACAGTGTCATCTACCAGTTGGGCAGAGGGGTTTGGGAGGGTATAGGGCGCTGAGGCTATTTTTGGGTTTGGAGATCTGGCTGGGTATTTTACGGATAGAGGATTTGGGATTTGGGGGCTCGGGGTTTAGGCTGTCGATGCGCCCCTACTGGTCCCTGAAGCAAGTACAGGGATAGAACCCTAAACCCTAAACCCTAAACCCTAAACCCTGAACCCTAAACCCTAAACCCTAAACCCTAAAACACCTCAACACCCTGAGAACCCTACACTCCCAGGAACCTCCAGAAACCCTAAAAACCTTCAAATCCTGAGAGCCACCAAAACCCCTAAGAACCCCTTCATTGCAGGATTAAGATTCCACTCCTTTGCTTCTTCTCCTGCAGCTTCACTGCGTCTGACAGTGGGCGCTTATCTACTATTCCTTGGGGTTCCGGGATAGTTTAGGGTTGAGGGGGTTAGGGTTTCAGGGGTTTGGGGTTTAGGGTACCCCAAAACTCAATGAATAGAACTCTACCAGAACTGAAACCCAAATACCCCAAAACTATAGCCGTATTCCAAATTCTTCAGGCCCCTGTCTTAGGGGTTCATTCCCAAGGCCAAGAGGCCTATGATTGTTCCGGGAATAGTTGTGGCTTCAAGACATGTGGGACTTAGCCTTTAGGGTTTAGGGTTCCTTAAATGGTACTATATGGGTTCCTTTAAAAGGGTTTAGGGCTTAGGGTTTAAAGTTCGAAGGCTATGATGATTTGCAATTAACGGGGTCTTCGTCGACACTTTTGTAAGGGTTGGGTCTGCGGGTATCCCATGTTTCCTCCAATATGCCTTGCTTAGGCAAATGCGTATGATGTACTTGGTGAATTGGGATAGTCGGAAGCCGTGAACCCTACCTGGGTTCTGTGAACCCTTTCATAACACCTCAAACTTGCTTCCCTTAGAATTTCAGACCTAAACCCTGGACCCGAAACTACCTGTGGAATCTTTGTGGCAGGAGCCTTTGCAAAAACACGTATGGGGGCCTCAAAGGGCTACTGTCCCGTTTTTCAGGACGCCTTGGACCTGATCGCCAAGATCCCGATCGTGGCGGCGAAGATCTACCGCCGCACATTCAAGGCCAATCGGATTCAGATGGGGTACATTTTAGGGACCCAGAAAGCACACAGGCATAGGCATTTTATGAGGATATCCTTGCCTTATTGGGCTTCGTCATAAGGGAGTTTATATGGGATACCCCTATCCTTATTTTTGCTTATGTGCTTCTTTTGGGCCCTATGCAAGCGACTGCAGGGATGGGTTGAACGTAGGTGGAGTACCCAAAGCCCTGAACCCTGAACCCTAACGCCCTCCATGCCAAACCCCAGAAATCTAAACCCTAACAGTTTTAGGGTTTAGGTTTTGGGTTTAGCATGGAGGGGGTTTGAGTTGGGAGTTTTAGGCTAAAACTCCCAACTCCGACCGGGGCTTTAAGAGGCTTTTGCAATGCCAGGGGTGTTATCAGGGGGTTTAGGATTTGTGCTTTACGGTTTAGGATGTAGGGTTTAGGGTTTAGGGGGTTTTGTATGGTGTCAGGATTTTGTCAGGGCTTTTGTCAGGGGATTGCTGTGGTTTCAGGAAGGCTTTTGTGAGGGAGGATCCAAAGCTAAAGCCATAAACCATCAAACACGATGCTCTCAATTTGCTCTGCCGTAAAGAGGTCAAGCGAACTTGAAGAGAATAAACCCAGGTGCAGCCCTTGGAAACAGTACCTAAGTTTTTGATTCTGCAGGAGTTCAGTGCCCTAAACCCTAAACCCTTAACCCTAAACCCTAAACCCTCAACCCTCAACCCTAAACCCTAAACCCTCAACCCTAAACCCTCAACCTTCAACCCTAAGTTCATGAATCTGGAAGAGGTCAGGGCTTAGGGATTCAAGGCATAGGACGAGGAGTCCGCCTTGAGGATTCAAGGTTTGAGGTTTGAGACGGTTTAGGGTTTAGGGTTTAAGGTTTAGGGTGTAGGGTTTAGGGTTTAGGGTTTAAGGGGGTCCAGTACTAGGTTCCTCTGTAGTACCCTTCTGTGCCCTTTGTCTATTCAAACACAATGGCAGGAAAAGGGTACCCTTATTGTTAAGGAGTTACGGAGGATGCTAGACTCCTCCCGGACCCACTGCCCCAGCCACCCATCAACCCGCGCACCTACATGCACCACGAGCCCGTTCGCGACATCACACCGCCACTGGGGCAGTGAAAGTCAGTGAAGGCTGGGCCAACAGCCCGCTGCCAGTCGTCCTTCTGCCGCCATGCCGCCGAAACAGACCGCCGATGACGAGGCACTCGAGAACGACGCCACGCAACACGATGCCGCCTTGGCGGCTCAGCTGGAAATCTTCGAGCCAGAGCCCGTGGACCCAGTGGAGCTCGCATCCGGCTCCAGCGACGTTCCCGATCATGCTACCGGCACTGGACCCCAACGACGATGGAGCCGCGGAAGTCTGGGCGAACTTGCTCGACGACGAGGAGGAGACATGTTTTATCCTTCGTGCTGGTTTCGGGGAATTGGCTGATAATCCGATGTCAGCTGATATCCCTAAGAACCGATACAGGAAATTCAGCAGCACTAGCGCTCATCATGCAGAACGGGTGTCATCACACTGCCGAAACCCTGGCCCCAAAAGGTAGCTCAAAACCATTACCTGAAATCCCAACCCCTTATACAACAGTGGTCACAAAAAGTCCTACACTAGACCGTAAACCCTAAAAGCCTGAAACCCTGATAGAAACCCATGCAGAGCCCTTGTAAGAACCCACAGAACACCTCAAATCTTACACTCTAAGACCCTAGGAATTCTAAGCCTTAACCCTGAACCCCAAACCCCAAAGCCCAAACCCGAAGCCCTAAACCCAAACCCTCAACCCCAAACCCCCAAACCCTACCCCTAAACCCTAAACCCCAAACCCTAAACCTCAAACCCCAAACCCCAAAGTCCTAACCTTAAACCCTGAAGGTTGCTCTAAAGGAGCTCTAAGACTTGGCGTTCTTCTGGTCGGCTCTTAGGAATTTAGCTTTTTGGGTTTCTATATGAACTATAGTACGTAGGCTAAAAGTTTAACTTTTAGGAGGGGTTCAGAAGTCGGCCAAGTTGATGTTCCAACATTCTGGCTTCTACTGTATCTTAGTAGCTGAGTTTATAAACTTTAAACTTTTTGGGAGAATGAAACCCTCTTAAGACTGAAAGTTTAAGCCTTTTTTGGGCTAATGAACTCGGCAACTAGGGGTCTATAATTTAGGGGCCTTAATAATGCTCATCTTCGGGTGTTTGGGCATTCACTGCTCTTCTGGTTCGGGGGTTTAGTGTTGGCAGTTGACAGGGTATGAGGAACCCGGACACCCTGAACTTCACTGTCTCCGGCTGGGTTTGGAGTCTACCATTTTGGGTTTTTTAGGGTTTAGGGTTTTGGTTTAGGGTTTAGGGTTTTGGGTTTACGGTTTAGGGTTTAGGGTTTTGGTTTAGGGTTTAGGGTTTTGGTTTAGGGTTTAGGGTTTATGGTTTGGTAACACTATTCCGATGTAATGTACCCCTGAACCCCGTTCGAAGTATGAACCCTCACAGCAACCCTTATCGATTTTTTGACCATAAGTAACAGGATCTAAAAGGAACTCTACTCTAATAGTCCCCTGAACCCAAAACCCTAAACACTAACCCCTAAACTAAACTACTAAACCCTTAACTTACCTTTGGTTAGTAGGGAATGGAAGAATGGTAGTAATAGTAGTTATAATTGCGCTCCATTCCTCCATTCCCTACCAACCCAAGGTAAGTTAAGGCCCATAATGTTACACCGAGGACGGCGTCGTCCCGGAGTACAACCCCAAGTTGGACTGGGCCGTACCTGGGCCGCGCCATTACACGCTCTGGGGGATTTTCGTTGAGGAGTGTTGCTTTAAGGGTGTCGGTTCTTTTGCAGATGCGGGTTTAGGGTTTAGGGTTTAGGATTTAGGAATGAGGGGTCTCAAATCCAGTCTCAGCGCATGATCATAGAGGTCTGAAACAATGGTTATGCGCTGTTCCCAGCATTCCCCAATGTGCTCATAACATGGCGTCCCTGCAAGAAGTATAGTGCAGTATACCTTCAAAGCCTGGTCCAACTATTCCCTAAACCCTAAACCCCTCAACCCTAAACCCTAAACCCCAATAGATCCCTGTCAAGGAACCCTTTATACTATATGGGTGGTTGTCAAAATTATGGTCCCTTTCTGGGTACCCTATATATTAGGTGCCGTATTATAATAAGGACCCCAAAAGGAACTCTAATTTTGACAACCACCCATATAGATCCCTTACAGGAAGCCTAAACACCAAACCCTCTTCACCCTAATCCCAAACCTTAGAGCTTAGGTTCCTGGCTCCTTAAAGAGTTCCTTCCAGGGTCCTCTCAAGGGTTGTATAAGGGATCTATGGGGGTTTAGGATCTATTAGGTTCCTGAGTAGTACCCTTTTGGACTCTTTATTTTTGGGTTCCTTTATTACAACACAATAGTAGGAAAAAGGGCGCCCTTTTTATTAGCGGGCTATCCGGAACGTGAAAGCCACAGTTATCTATGGTTTGAGATTGAAGTTTTGGAGTTTGGGGTTCTAGGGTTTCCGAGTTTAGGGTTCAGGGGCTTAGGGGTTTAGGGTTTAGCTTTTCGGGATTGGCACTTAGAGTTCAGGTACGCTTTTGAAGTACCGGAGATTGCCATTGGATTTCATTTTAGTGCCTTAATAATCTGAGTACGGTTTCGTTGTTGTAGATACCATAGCATAGTTCTACAAAGGAGACCCTTGCACAACTGGGTCACACAGGAGTACCTTTAATTATGCCTTGGTCTTTGTGGGGTTTAGGGTATGGGATGTTAGGGTTTAGGGTATAGGATGTTCGGGTTTGGGGTAGGCGGCGGTTCTTTGCTCTACGGGGTTGCAGATTCCAAGACCCGCAACCCTAAGCCCGGAGCCTTGGAGAAACTTGAGCAGAAAAGGACAGCCAGGTAGGGCTTTGGGACATTTTATATTTGACCTTATTGGGCTTAAGAGGATCTTATTTACTAATATTTTTCAAAAGCTTTAAAAGCCCCACCTAGACAGTAGTCTACTGTCGATAGCCTTTTCGGGTTCCATGGCAGCTTTAAAGACCTAGTGACCTAGTAGTAGAGTAGGTAACCTTTAACCTTTCTGGGTAGTCCCTATATAATCCCTATTTAGCAGGGTTAACCTTTAGTTCCCCATGATACCGACAAGTAGGTTAGCGTGTCGTTGAACCCCGAAACCCTAAACCCCAAACCCTAAACCTGAAGCCCGTAAACCCTAAACCCTAAACCCCAAACCCCTAAACCCCAAACCCTAAACCCCTAGACCCTAAACCCTAAACCCCAAACCCTAAACCCCACCCCCCAAACCCTAAACCCCTAGACCCTAGGAAGAGGGTTCAGGGTTTGGGAATTGGGATGCTTTAGGGGTAGTTAGGCTTTAGGGTTTAGGGTTTAGGGTTTAGGGTTTAGGGCGCATGGCTCCTGATCTGAGGTTACAGCAGGCACCCCAAACCCTTTTTTGAGTGCCTTGGGCGTTAGTCGCATACCCTAAACCCAAACCCTAAACCCGTTTCCGAAAACTAGGCGTACCTTATTTTGGGGTCCGGGTTACATGGATCCTACTTTTTATTTAGGGTACTGCCACTATGCTAGACGCAGCCTCCTAGAGAACACGACGGCTGCGAAAATGGAGCAGAGGCGCAACCCAGAGACTCCAATACCCCTTAATTAAGCAATATACCTTAAATTATAGTAGGATCCCGAATATGATGTAAGGAATATTCCTAAATTAAGAGGTATTAGACTCCCCCAAATCCTAAACCCTAAACCCTACAGATCCCTTTAAAGGAACCCTAGGTATTCCTAAATTAAGGGATATTGGAGTCTCTGGGAAGCTGGGCATCTCATTCAGCGACCCCCGAGAGCTCCCGGGCCGGCTCTTGAAAAAAGTCCAAAGGCCATGGGCCAAAGACGGGCTGTCCCTAGGGTTCCTAGGGTTCCTTTAAAGGGGCTACTATAAGGGACCATAAGGGATACTATAAGGGTACTAGAATATACTTAAAGGATCATGGGACTTAGTAACTTGAAAGGCCTCCTTAAAGGGATCGATAGGGTTCCTTGTTAAGGTTTGGGGCCTACTTAAAGGATCATGGGACTTAGTAACTAGGGTTAGTATTGGGGTAACTATACTTAGAATTACTTATAACCCCGATTAAGGGACTTATAACTATAGTTACTAAGTCCCACGACCCTCCAAGTACCGGCTGCTGAAGATCTCTTTTCCGGTGCAGGATCTCCTACAAAAAAAGGGCCTCTCAGCCAATGAAAGAACACTGCAATCTCGCGAAAGGTCCAGGATGAGCATGGCATGAGGACCCTGATCCCTAAACCCTGAACTCGCATCCCATCAACCCGAAACCCCGAACCCTAAAACCCCAATCCCTAAACCCTGAACCCTTAAACCGTCAAACCTAAAACGTTATCGAACCCTTCAGAATCATAGAACCCTTACGGAAGCCCTGTCAAAGGAATTCCAAAACCCTGAAGCCCTGATCCCTACGCCCAAGGCGAATTTTGCGCAGATGCTGGGCATCAACCCGGACGGGTAGTGTGGCAAGTGCTCCTTTAAGGGTTCCATGAAGGGATGAAGGGTTGAGGGTTTGTGGTTTAAGGGTTTCAGGGGCTCAAGGTTTAGGGTTTAGGATTTTTTCGGTTTAGGGTTTAGGGCATAAGTGTTCGGTGAAGTGTACCTACCAGGGTTCTGGACTTTTTAACCTACCGTTCCATCAGGGCTCTTTGAGGTTTTTTCAGGGTAGAGGGGTGGAGGTTTAGGAGCATACGGGTTTGGGGTTCCGATTAGGGTTCCGATTAGGCTTTCTATGAGGGTTCCTGCCAGGGTTTCGATAAGGCTTCCGATTGGGGTCCGCATACATCCCATTAGCTTGATCACGTTTTCATCTCGTTGTTATGGCATCTATGGGTGGGCGGGTGGGTAGAAATTCGATTCTGGAGGAGCGAGATTGACGAGAATGCTAGAACCGAAGATGTTGAACCCCAAACCTTGCGTCTAAAGGCGTGACACGGATTTGTGCAAGCCTCGTTCCGAGGCCGACCCTTTCACCCAAGGAAAAGGGCATTGCATTACAACAAGAACCTAAACACCAAACCCAAACCCTAAAGCAAGGCAAAAGATGAGCGTCAGCACTCAGGGTTCAGGGTTAAACCCCCGAACCCTAAACCCTAAACCCCTAGACCCTAAGCCCTAAACCCCTGAACAGGACGAGGGCTTCAACGAGTGCACGCGGCTTTACTTGATGCTGCACGCCGACCACGCCAGGGCCTTGGGTTGAAAAAGGGTTTAGGGGAGTAAGGCTTTAGGGGGAGTAAGGTTTTAGGGTTTAGGGTAAAAAGGGGAATAAGGGTTTCGGGTTTGGGGGTTCTGGGCATAGGGTTTCAGAATTTATGGAAGGGGTTTCGGGGTGAATTGGGGTTCGCGCTTTTTTTTGTTTGGGTTCAGGTTCCTTTGTGTGTTGTTTGGTGGTGGTGGGGGTGGTGGGGGTGGTGGGGGTGGTGGGGGTGGTGGGGGTGGTGGGGGTGGTGGGGGGTGGTGGGGGTGGTGGGGGTGGTGGGCGTGGTGGGGGTGGTGGGGGTGGTGGGGGTGGTGGGGGTGGTGGGGGTGGTGGTGGGGGTGGTGGGCGTGGTGGGCGTGGTGGGCGTGGTGGGCGTGGTGGGCGTGGTGGGCGTGGTGGGCGTGGTGGGGGTGGGAGTTTGGCTTGTTCGGGTTAGGGGTTTGTAAGTTGTTGCTTGATATGAAATACGGCCTTCCCGGGCTTTCAGGTGCAACTAGTTTGGGTTTAGGGTATGGGAGGACAGGAGTTTAGGATTTCTTCGTATAGTTGACTGGGTCTTGGGTTATGTAAACCCCGCCGAGCAGAAAGGATAAAGCTTTCCGAAGTCTGAAAGAAGTTCAACCGTATGTTCCGGATGTTTAAACCCTCAACAGGATTTAACGCCTTTGAAGGCTGTTGAAGCCTCGTTTACAATATTTTCGACTTTATTATGAAGTTGTTGTCTGTATTTCGCGTTATTTGTCTAATGTGTGTCTTCACTTGTCGCTTGTGTCATCTGTCTTAGCTTGTGCTTAGCAAGGCTTAGTGGTTGACATAAAGTCACAAGCCGCGCGGTTTAGCACCCTGTGGTTTCAGTTCCTCGCAAGAGGTTCTTGAGTTTAGGGTTTAGGGTTCCGGGTTTAGGCTTGTAGGCATACGCAGAGTTGTGGGTTTCTAGTTCTGTTGATCCGTACTTGTGAATATTTCATGAGTCAGACAAGACTTGAATAGACTTCATATGATTTGGGGTTTCGGGCCTAGGGTTTCAGATTTCGTTTGGTTTGCCTTGGGGTGGTTTTAGGTTTCGGATGCTTCGGCCCTGCTGCTGCTATCCTAGCCCTAGACCTCAACCCTCAACCCTAACCCCTAGCCCCTAAATCCTAAACCCTAAATCCTGAACTCTAAGCCAAGCCATAAGCCCGAAATCCTAAACTCTAAACCTTACCTGAACCCCAAGTAACCTGCCTTTTTAAGGACTTATCTAAAGAAATCATATTAGGGAACACTAAAAAGGTGGGTTCCTTAGCGTCCAGGTAAGCCATGTATCCAAGAAGCTCCTTCTTCGACTGCCGTCCTAGAGTCGAACCAAGTGTAATATAGAAGCCAAGGCAACTACCAGCTAGGACCCGGAGTAGGCCCTTATTCCCTTTTTTAGGGTTCAGGTTCCCTTATAAGCCCTTTTAAACCAAAAAGGGCACCCTTTTTATTCCTAGGTTACTCTTCTTAGGTCTAGCCAGTCTTGTTCCTTCGGGGTCCTGAATATCATTATAGTAACGTATGCTACACAGACTAATGATACCCCAAACGACTAAGGCCCCTACAGTAGCCCAGCTTCAGGAGCAAGGCTTGACTTGGAGGTTAGGGTACCCTGAGCCCTAAATCCTAAACCCTGACCCCTAAATCCTACACCCTAAACCCCCTACACCCCTAAACCTCTAAAGCCCATAAGCCCTAAACACTAGACAGTTACATGCAACAGAGGGTTAACACCCAGCGTCCCTTCCGAGGAGGGTGGCAACGTCTCAGCCCATGCCACGCACCTCGTAGGATCTGTCTCTTGCCTGTTCTGGGTTCGTTTTGGGACGTGGGGGTTTCCGAAAATGGGGGACCCTAATATAGTAGCCTAAATAGTAGGATCCCTATTATAAAGACCCCAAAATAAGGTACCCCTAATTTTCGGAAACTCCCACGTGTAGGTTTTCTTGTTAACCCAGAGACTCCAAAAGCCCTTAATTCAGGAATATACCTTAAATTATAGCAGGAACCCCAATATGATCCACGGTGTATTCCTTGGGTACGGCCCCCACTCAGTAATAGTTGAATAATGTTCAGAATATAGATATGTTAGGACCTTAATAGTAGCCCTATTATAGACTCTTACTGTATGGGGGCAGTACCTAATATATTCCTTAATTAAGGGTATTGGGTTCTCTGGGGAGGGCCTTTGAGTGAGGGATGTTGGAGCATCTGTGAATCTAGGAAGGTTTAGGGTTTTGGGTTAAGGGTTTAGGGTTTAGGGTTTGTTGGAGTGCGGTAGGGTACGTAGGGGTCGGAATACCAAGGAAAAGTATCCCCTCTACTCCTTTGAGTCAAGCAACCTAAACCTTGAACCCGAAACGCTAAGCCTCATGCTGTAAGTACTCTCAGGACTTCGTTAAGAGGAGGATATGTGCTTCCTTCACACATTGTGTCCTAAGACCGCTTGAAAACCCAAGCGGTCGAAGAAATGGTTCAGGGTTTAGGGTACCTTCCACATCGATGAGCGGAGCACGTTTGCCCTCCCAGTGTGGCTTTGCTTACACAGCCATGGCAGCCCTGCCGGTGAATGCCCTACTCAAAACAGTTTATGCCCGGCGCGAAACGAGTACGTCACTCCTATATTCAGGACCGCCCGAAACCCTAAACCTTAAGCCCAAACATCACCCTTTTTTAAGGCTCTGAGCGATCCTTACTATGCCTGGGCTGCCGGACTATGCGGCTTCTCGGATCCGCACAGCTCGAGTGCTCGGGGTCAGGGCGGATGGCTTTAGGGTTTCAGGGTTTTAGGGTGTAGGGTCTGGGGTTTAGGGTTTAGGGTTTTCGCGTTTAGAGTTTAGGGGTTAGGGCGGATGGCTTTAGGGTTTCTGCGGTCGGAATGCTTGACCAGATACAGCATGCAATCTCAGGCAACGGCACACCGTGGAAACAATGTGAGTTGTTCATTCCGCTGATTTATGACGCGGTGGAGAATGTCGTCGGTATGATTTGCAGTACACCGGCCGACACCGAGTCGCAGTTGAAGAAGATGATGGTGTTGAGTATGGCCTGGCATAAACGACGTTGCCGTGAAAAAGGATACCTACAAGGTGAGGTCGCTGATGAACCATGGTGGCAGAGCTATTTTTACCACAAGCACCGTGACGAATCTGGTGTCACGCGGTCTGCTTCAGCAAGTGAGCTCAGCCTTTAGGTACAGACCCCTTGAAGCCGACACCAACCGTCGAGGATTCATCCACCCTGGGACCAGTCGCGCGGCTGTGTTGGCAAGGGAGGCTGACAACGAAGGGATTATGTTGATCCATACAGGAGAGAATCTCCTGGGCGACGCTGCTGATGAATTCCTCACTATGATGGACCGTTTGAGGGGCGGCAGGATGACATTGGTTGTGGGGGACAGCGCGTACATTTCGGGTTCCGTCGCTCTGCTGGCCGAGAGGAACATACGTGAAGTCACGCTTCAGGATGAGCCAAGCAAGCATGATGATGCGAAGGATCAGCAGCCGCCTCCTGAGCTTAGCAATTCCAAGCTCAGGGTTTAGGGTTCAAGTGATGAGGGGTGTTACTATGTTAAACTAGGCGATGGGGTTCCAGCGAATGGAGGGGTTGCTCTAGTTTGGCGGCATACCCAGAATGGGGTTTGGGGTATAGTATGCTCAGGTGTATATATTAGTGTCCTCGTATAAGCTCTGAAATAGAGTTTATAGGGATGCCATGCCGAGGGTTTCATTGGGCACCTAGAGTCTAGAGACTCAACCGAAAAACTCTCATTAAGGAACTTTGCTCGGATTTGGGGAATATTCCCCAAAGCGTAAACCCTAAACCTTCACCCCTAAACCCTAAACCAACACCTAAAACCCCAAGCCCCTAAAGTAGGGAATATTCCGGGGCTCAGGGATGCTGTTCCGTGGTTTTGCATTGCCCCTAAGCCTCTAAATCCCTGAACCCTAAACCTCTAAATCACTAAATCCCTAAAGCCCTACACCTTTCACTCCAAACCCCACACCTAAACCCGAAGCCCTACACCAAACTAAACCCGAACCTAAACCCGAAACCCCGCACCTAACCCTTAAATCCTGAAACCTTACTAACGCCCTAAACCCGACAAGAAGCCTTTTAGGATGCCTTACAGGAGCCCTTAAAGGAACCCTTAAAGGAACCCTGAACCGGTGAAGCTCCGGTTTAAAATTTGGGGAAGAGTAGTTAACCTTTGATCCTTTTGGGGTATTACAATCCCTACATAATCCCAGAGGATAACCTTAAGTTCCCCTAAAGTACTGGACAGCTGAGGAATGTGGAGCAGACATTTTCACCCAGCGGGATATCAATCTAGCAAAGTACGTTCGAATACGCCGCTTAGGCTGTCACCCAGGTTTAGGGCTACTGTTGATGGACAAAATCCTGCATTACGCTTTGTAAGGAATATACCATGGTTCCCATAGTTTAGAGTCCTTAGGGTCATGCAGGATTTCATCCATCAACAGTATCATACAGCAAAAGCGGCTCCTGGCACAATATCTCTTATTTCTTGTGGTTGGCTGGCGAACCTGCAAACTCCGCATGTAGAATAGCTGAGGACTTCCTGAAATCCTAAACCCTAAACCCTAAACCCTAGACCCTAAACCCTGAAACCCCAAACCCTGGACCCTAAACCCTAGACCCTAGACACTAAAAAAACCCTAAACCCTGAAACCCCAAACCCTGCACCCTAAACCCTAAACCCTAGACCCTAAAAAAACCCAAGATCCTGAAACCCCAAACGCTGCACCCTAAACCCTAAACTCTAGACCCTAAAACAAAAACCCTAAACCCTAAACCCTAGACCCTAAAAAAAACCCTAAACCCTAAACCCTAGACCCTAAAACAAAACCCTAAACCCCTCGCCGAGGACTCGCGGGACCTCTGCACGGCTTGGCCAACCAGGCGAGCTTTTCTTTGCTGCTGCTGCTTAGTATGGGTTTAGGATTTAGGGTTTAGGATTTAGGGTTTAGGATTTAGGGTTTAGGATTTAGGGTTTAGGGTTTAGGATTTAGGGTTTAGGGTTCAGGATTTAGGGTTTAGGGTGTAGGGTGCTTAATATGGGAGTTTCTGAAGATTGGGGGGTACCTTTGAAGGGATCCTTTAAGTGTCCTTAAAGGGATCTATAAGGGTTCTATCAAGGGTTTAGGGTTTAGAGTTTCCGCTTTTTAGGGGTATCTTATTTTGGAGATCCTCATAATGAGGATCCTACTACTTACTATTTAGCGTGCTATATTAAGGTCCCCTATTTTCGGAAACTGTCATATGGGAGTCGGAATAAGTCGCAATATGGGTAGTTCTCTAAATTTGGGTCCTTGTTTAGGTCCCAAGATAGTATGGCACCCTCATAAATTAGACCCGAAAAGGGACCCAGAAAACCCTTTGTAGTCCAGTTAGAACTACCGTCATCCCCAGCATGTAGGCTTTGGGGTGCAGGGTTTTAAAACCCTAAACGCTTGAATCGTGAAGCCCTTGGAAACCCTAAGCCCCAAAACAACCCTTGTAGCAAATAGGAGCCGCAAAAGGAACCTGTAAGCACTACAGCCTAAAACCCTAAACCCTGAACCCTAGCCCGAAACCCTAAGCCCCTAGGCCCTGAAGCCTAAGCAAGTTTGAGCTCTTTGCGAAAGGATCTCGGGAAAGCAAACCGAGAACTTGAAGCGGAAATAGAAAGACTGAAAGAGGAGAATGCAGTGATTGAAGATAAGACGGACCGCGGGTCTGCATGCTCTGTAGCCGATATGGCCACACAGCGGAGATGTGCTGGGATGGTGAATACTCGTACGACGAAGGGGGCAATTACAAGCCCTGGTGCGAACTCGGCCACTGTTGCGTGCATGGTTGTCTTTGTCGACCTGGGGGAAGGAGTCGAGGGATGATTGGGGTTTAATGTAGGGGCCTTGATAATTACCAGTACTCTTTGCGGGGGGTCCTTATCACAATTATGGTATGGTTGGCCCCAAAACCCTATTCTAATTATCAAGGCCGCTATATTGGGTGCGCAAGTGGGATTTCGGCTTTAAGATTTCGGGTTCAGGATATAGGACTTTAAGGTATGGGGTTCAGGGTTATAGTGTTTAGGCTTGCAGGTGTGGACTTTAAAGTTTGGCCAACATGAAATCCCAAACAGTCCCCCGTGAAGGGACAGCAGCCTGCAACTTGAAAGGATCAGGGACGTCTCGCAAGTAGTTGCAAAGTTTACGAAGTACTCTAAGTGGCGTTTGTTGTAGGTATAATTTGAAACGCTTGCGCGTCGTCCGCCTCGGCCCGGCTGTACGGGCATGCGGCGTGTCGAAAAACTCCAGAAAGTTCGCACCTGTCAGGGGGGATGGGGGTAGGAGGGGGGGGTGCCTTGGACGCCTTGGCGTCCCAATGGACGCAATAGGCTTTTTCTTATATAAAATCCCAAAGTTGCCACCTTCCAAACCTTTGAGCGTGGCCTTCTGAATCCAGCTAATATAATAAAAAACACGTTGGGGGAGGCAAACGCGCCGTGCTTCTGAATCCCACCAGTACTTGGGCGAAAATATGTTTGGACGCGCCATACGTGGGGAGAAGCATTCTGGTCGCGGTCCCAATCCGTGGAAAGAATGCAGGCCGTGTCCCAAACCCTTCAGGATTTTGGCACGTTTTGCTAGGCTTCCTGTAGGGACCGAGTGCTGCTGCCGCAGTCGTTGAGACCCGCCCCACGCCAAAAAACAACACGTGCGAGCAGACGTGGGGGACATGGCTCAAGGTAGGTTCATCTGTGAAGAGATCAGCAAGCACTAATTCAAGGTTCTGAGATGCGACGCGCAAAAAATGTTGGCAGGGCCAGCAAAACTTCGCTGAACCAAAATTGCAGAATCGGTTTTGACTTATCAAGGACTTCACAAGCTCATTCTGGGGACGCCACTTCGACAGTACGTTTTCAAGCCCCAAGTAGTTGTTTCAAGAAGTGGGGCGCTGAGCCCTTACATGCAGCAGCGACGCTACTTTACATGTGCTTCACACTGTATAGTAGTTGAGTGCGCGATGGAACTCAGAATGCATCGTCGTTCTTACTATGGTGACCTCGAATTATAAAGCATACACATGCATGCATACATGTGGCCAAAATATGCAGGAATACTTAACGTCTAATATATAGCGATCGCTTTGCTTATAAGGGTGGTGGGCTTACTAAAGTGGATTGAGGGACTTATGTTGGAATTATAAAGGTGAAGACCAACTGACTTACCAGAGCACGGGCTGCGTGAGTTAAGGTCACTTATTGTGGGGTTATTAAGTGGCGATATATCGGTGGATGTAAATATGGGTATGCGTCACTTAGGGGTTGCACTTATAATAAGTAGGGCAAGTAGGAACTTACAGGACTTACATAAGAAGGAGAAGGGACACACACGTAAGTAGGTTAAGTGCACTTACATAAGTAAGTGAGATAAATCCTATCCGTAAGTAGGCTAAGTAGCTTGAGTGGCTCCAGAACAGCGCGCTGATCCTACTTATCGGACTTAGCCAGGGGACGCAGCGGAACCCACTCAGCGGACTGTGGTAACCACTTAGCCACTACTCGAGGCCACGTCGCTGGACCTATCTCCCACTTAGCACCACTTATAAACTGAATTACAATTCCGCACGACGTCGATCACAACTAAGGTTGATTGATAAGCACTCAAGTACAACAAAAATCCTGATCGGTTATCGCAATTATTAATTTAAGTACACTAAGTTGAAGCAGTTATATATCAACAACAAAACATCGTCGGACTATGGTCCATTGAAAAGCATTTGGAGGGTGGTTACCTAACTCATAGTTCTGTTACTGGACTTCATTAGTTCTTATAACCAGAGCACAGATCAAGCAATAGCTTTTATCTATACGCATTATTAAAGTATGCACGCCACTAATGAATGGGCCATGGGATGCTGTTGAACTCACAACACATCAAACATGCACGTCAATGTGAGGCTGGGTCTGCCATGGTGGAACGCATGCTATATAATTAAACCATGCACATCAGAGCGTGTGCGTCATGCAATTCTAAATGGATGGGCCCTGGATAACTGCATGCGCCCTCGCGATCTCAGGGCCCTCCGCGCCCTCAGCGCCTCGCGCCTCAGCGCCCTCCCTCAGCGCCCTCAGCGCCCCAAGCGCCCTCCGCTCCGGCCCTCCGCGCCCGCAGCGCCCTCAAGCGCCCTCAGCGCCTCAGACGCCCTCCGCGCCCTCCGCGCCCTCAGACCCTCAGCGCCTCCCGCCCTCCGCGCCCTCCGCGCCCGCGCACTACGCGCCCTCCCACCCGCCCCGCAACCTCAGCGCCCTCCGCCCTCACCGCGCGCGCCCCGGCGCCCTCAGCGCGCATCCGCAGCGCCCTTCACCCCCCCCACGCCCTCCCGCCCCCACGCACCCCCGCCCACCCCCCCCCCCCCCCCCCCCCATCCCCCCCCATCCCTCCCCCCGACCTCGCGCCTCAGAGCACCAGCCCTCAGCGCCCTCAGCGCCCTCATCGCGCCCTCGCGCCCTCCGCGCCCTCCGCGCCCTCAAGCGCCCTCGCGCCTCGCAGCGCCTCAGCGCCCCCGCCCTCCGCGCCCTCAGCGCAGCCTCACCCCACCCTCAGCGCCCTCCGCGCCCTCGGCGCCGAGGCCATCCGCGCCCTCAGCGATTCGCATTCAGCGCCCTCCGCGCCCTCCGCGCCCTCAGCGCCCAGGCCAGCGCCCCAGCGCCTCAGCCCTATAAGCGCCCTCCGCGCCCTCGCGCCCTCAGCGCGCTCATCTCAGCGCCCTCAGCGCTCTGAGCGCCTGAGCGCCCCAGCGCCCTCCGCACCGCAACCTCCCCTCATCAGCCCCTCAGCGCCCTCAGCGCGCTACGAGACTCAGCGCCATCGGCGCCATCCTTAGCGCCCTCAGCCCTCCGCGCCCTCAGCGCCCTCAGCGCCCTATAAGCGCCCTATAAGCCCCTCAGCCCTCAGCGCCCTCAGCGCGCTCAGCGCCTCCGCGCCCTTCAGATCCCTCAGCGCCCTCACGCCCTCAGCGCGCTCCGCGCCCTCAGCGCCCTCCGCGCCCTCAGCGCCCTCGCGCCCTCAGCCCCTCACGCCGCTCAGCGCCCCGCGCCCCCGCGCCCCTCACGCCTTCATCGCCCTCAGGCCCCAGCGCCCTATCTCGCCCTCAGCGCCCTCCGCGCGCTCAGCGCGCGCTCAGCGCCTCCACGCCCTCCCTCAGCGCCCTCCGCTCCAAATCCGCCCTCACCTCCTCGCCCTCAGCGCCCTCCGCGCCCTCAGCCCCTCCCTCCGCGCCCTCCGCCCTCAGAGCCCCGCCGCCCCATCCACACCCTCCGCGCCTCTGGCCCCTCACCGCCCGCATCGCCCTCCAGCCCCTCCGCCCCTCCGCGCCTCAGCGCCCCCTCGCGCGCCTCCGCGCCCTCACGCGGCCCTCAGCGCCATCCGAGCCTCCGCGCCCGCCTCGCGCCTCAGCGCCCACGCCCGCAGCGCCCGCGCACTCAGCGCCCTCAGGCGCTCCCGCCTCAGCGCCCTCACGCGCCCTCAGCGCACTCAGCGCCTTCCGCGCCCTCAGCGCCCTCCGCGCCTCCGCCCTCAGCGCCCTCCGCCCTCACAGCGCGCTGCGCCATCCTCCTCTCCCTCCGAGCTGCGCACCTCAAGCCCCTCCCGCCTCAGCGCGCCCTCCGCGCCCCTCGCGCCGCGCCCTCAGCGCCCCCCCCTTCAGCGCCCTCACCAGCGCCCTCCCGCCGTCAGATCGAGCCCGCAGCGCCCCATCGCCCTTCTAAGCGCCCTCAGCCCTCAGCGCCCTCAGCGCTCACGCCCTCCCGCGCCAGCGCTCTGAGCGCCCTTATAGCGCCCCAGCGTGCCCTCACGCGCTCCGCGCGCCTCAGCCCTCACGCCATCCGCCCTCCGCCCTCAGCGCGCCTAGCCCTCATCGCTCAGCCGCCCTCCGCGCCCCAGAGATCTGACGCGCCTCTTGAGACGCCCTCAGGCGCCCTCACGCCCTCCGCTACGAGCCATCAGGCCCTAAGCGCCCTCATAGCGAGCTCCGCGCACTCGAGCCGCAGCCCCAGTGACCTCAGCGCCCCCGCGCCCCAGCGCCCTCCGCTCTCGCCTTCCGCGACAGCTCCCCTCAGCGCGCCGCGCTTCCCGCCCTCCGCTCAGCCCCTCAGCGCCATCAGCGCCCGCAGCGCCACAGCATATAAGCGCCCTCAGCGACATCCGCGCCCTATAAGCCACCTAGCGCCCTCCGCGCCCTCAGCTGCATCTGAGCGCCTCCAGAGCCCTCAGCCCTCGCACCGCCCTCCGGCCTCAGCGCCCCAGCGCCCTCAGCGCCTCAGCGCGCTCCGCGCCCTCAAGCGCCCTCCGCCGCCCCTCAGCGCCCTCGCAAGCGCGCCTCCCGCGCCCCTATACGCCCTCAGCGCCCTCGCGCCCTCCGCGCCCCTCATCGCGCCCCTCAGCGCCCGCGCCCTCACGCGGCCCTCCGCTCCCTCCGCCCTCACGCCCCTCAGCGCCCTCCGCGCTCCGCGCCCTCCGCGCCCGCAGCGCCCTCAGCGCCCTCAGCGCCCTCAGCGCCCTCCCCGCCCTCCGCAACCCTCAGCACCCTCAGCGCCCTCCGCGCCCTCAGCGCCCGCAGCGCCCTCAGCGCCCTCAGCGCCCTCAGCGCGCTCCGCGCCCTCAGCGCCCTCCGCGCGCCACAGCGCGCTCAGCGCCCTCCGCGCCCTCAGCGCTCTGTGAGCGCCCTGAGCGCCCTCAGCGCCCTCCGCACCGCCTCCGCGCCCTCCGCGCCCTCATCAGCGCCCTCACCGCCCTCAGCGCCCTCAGCGCGCTCCGCGCCCTCAGCACCCTCCGCGCCCTCAGCGCCTCCGCGCCCTTAGCGCCCTCAGCGCCCTCCGCGCCCTCCGCGCCCTCAGCGCCCTATATAAGCGCCCTCCGCGCCCTCAGCGCGCGCTCAGCGCCCTCCGCGCCCTCAGCATCCCTCGCTCCGCGCCCTCAGCGCCCTCCGCGCCCTCAGCGCCCTCAGCGCCCTCTCCGCGCCCTCAGCGCCCTCAGCGCCCTCCGCGCCCTCCGCGCCCTCAGCGCCCTCAGCGCCCTCAGCAGCGCCCTATAAGCGCCCTCAGCGCCCTCCGCGCGCTCAGCGCGCGCTCAGTGCCCTCCACGCCCTCAGCTGCAAGCAAGGGCATGTCAAATAGCCTGCAAGTGTCCATCACACGGGAGGGGGGGGGAAGGGAGGGGGGAGGGGGGACGGGAGGAAAACTGGGTGGGACTGCCTTCCGGCTGCCAAAATCCGTTGGTGGGGACGAGAATTCACCACCCCGTTTTTGGGGGTGGGGTCACTGGGGAGGGGATTAAGAGGTGGGGAATAGGAGAATCCGAATAGGAACCTCTGACCGCTTCGGCCGAGCCGAGGCGAACTATAGCTACCTTGCTTCTGTCCTAGGTGTGTTTACTTCTGGCTCTCTTAAACGGGACCTTTTTGACAGGGTCTATATCCCCAAGGGTCCCCTTAATCCTAACTCCCATTCTGATCCAAGAGCCAAACCTAAACCCTAAACCCTAAATCGCAAACCCGAATCCTAACTCCCATTCTGATCCAAGAGCCCTTCAAAACTTTTCCTCAGTTTCATTACCCAGTTTGGAGGGACTGGAAGACTCCTTCGAGACGCGCAACACCCGTAGTTCTACGCCCTAAACCCTGAACCCTAAACCCCAAATCCTAAGCCATAAACCCCCAGCCCGAAACCCTAAACCTTGAATCACAAACCCTAAACCCTGAACCTCTAACAGTTTCCAATAACAATAACACTAACTATGAGTATAGTAGCTCTAACTATAAGTCCTTACATCAACAAAAGGTTTCTTCCACCCCCCCCCCCGTTCCGTCGTGCAGGAATGCCTCGGCTGGCTCCTGGACGTGCAGAAGCAGCTGGGTGGGCAAAAGCCTACGAAGGAGCGCTTTTGTGTGAAAATGCACGTTCCATTGCGCGCTGCCGGCATTTGCAGAGGGCGATTATTGCTCAAGGACTGCTAGGGCCAAAGTGCCAAGCCTTCTCTTTCAAAAGCAATCTTGCTTGATTGCGCCTGGTGCTTGAAGCGTGTATGCCACGATGGATGATACCAACAGCAGATGCCGTGGGCTCCAGCTGGGCTTTGGGGGCTTGCTGTTTTCTTGCGTTGTGGTCCTCGTGCTGAGCTACTGGAGCGTTTTCTACCAGCGACTACCACATCTACTGGGACTGGTGATCTCTCTGCCGGTACTCATCGCCTTTCTCTGCGGAGGAATGCACCTGAATGGTACTACATGGCGCTACATCTGCAAGGCCCTTTTTCAGATCGAGGCTCCCAGGGATTCCATGGCTGTGCCTTTGTCATAGTTGGGTAACATTTTACATTTCTAGGGGTACTTAAACCCAATAAGGAATAGAAATGTAAATTCTTAATACTATCCCAACCATGAACTAGGTGCCGTGTTGGTTTATGGTGGGATTTCTGATCCTTTGGGCAGCGTTGCTGGACATTGGCTTTGGATTGGGCCCTTTTCTTCAGCCAAAGAGTGGAGGCTCTTCGTTGCATCGGTTTTGGGAGCTCGAGCGCCTTGGGCGGCTGGACCACATCGGCCTTTGCACAAGTGAGTGGACAGATTTCAAGGGAAGCATCTACTTCGACGATGGTGCTCTGACCCAGTATGGCGAAGTCCCACAGACAACGGCGGTTGACATCAGCGAGTGCTTCTCGGAAGGTGATGAACTGATTCACTCATGCCATTTTATTGCGCAGCCTGTATTTCAATGCACTGCTGCCACCTCCCAGTTGGACGCGTCTGATTCATGCTCTGATCCACGACCCTGCGCCTGGGCTGTCACTGCAAGCATCGACAGCGTTCCACCACCACCTCAACTTCCTGAGTGTGGCAGCTCAGGACTTTGTGGATTCGTGGTGGACATGAAGCAGCTGATGCCTGCTATGACATGGAACCGGGAAAGTATGGACATGTTTCACGATGTGCTGCAAGAAGCCGCAAAACGCTTTGCAGGGAATCTCACGGCACAAAGTCCATTGCTGTCCCTGGCCAACCCAGAGCAAGTAATCGCATCTCTTGGGGCCAGGCTGCCAATCTTCCTCCTATTGCTGTTCCTCTTCATGCCGTTTGGTGCATTTTCGGCCATTTTGGTGGCCCTGTGCCAGCGAGGACACCAAAGCACCTTGCATGAAGGTCAGCCATTCGTGGACAGCTCCAGCTCGAGCGACAGTAGCGACTGAGCACGCCTGACTGGCGTGCCCTCGTGTGCTACAGCGGGTCTCGAATCTGGGCTCGGCGCACAAAATGTGCCCTTTCATGTTTTCGGGGGTTCCCTCAAAGCAGTAACCAGCCCCAAAAAGGTACCCTTATTATGATGGGGTTACTGGGCTGCCCAGGTGTTTGCCGATGCCAGCTGAGAATCGGACAGGCAAGGTGAGATGCACGCAGGCATGTTGAGGGTGGTGACCGTATTTCGCTTGGCCAGGGACTGTCAGTGGGAAGGGGGGAAGGGTGGGGTTAATGTAGGAACCTGATTAAGAAACGTTGGGCCTTTATTCGGGGTCCTTATATGAATCCTACTGTTCTGGGGGTATAGGCCCAGGGTTTCTTAGTCAGGTTCCTACATTAGGGGTTTAGGATTTATGGGGCTTAGGGTTTTTAGGGACCTGAATCTTTCAGGCAGGCTTGCATGGTTTTGTCGGTACTTAGAGGCCCCAGCGCCTAAACAGCAATCTTAAGGCTCTGAAAACTTGGCGTTCTTCTGGTTGGCTCTTTAGACTTTAACTTTTTGGGCTTCTATATGAACTGTAATAAGGAGGCTAAAAGTTTAACTTTTAGGAGGGGTTCAGAAGTCCGCCAAGAAAAGAGAACTCTTAAAGCAACCCGACAGGCTATCAACAAACCAAAGAACAACCCTCGCAGTAGGCCCAAGGGTGCGCTGTAAACCACGATAATCTTACACCCTTTATAAGACCCTTGAAAGGAAACCCTTTAAAGGCCGCAAAAGCCATAGACCAACTCCCCCAACACCCAAATACCGAAAAGCCTTGTGCAACCCTCACAGGAAGCTTTACAGGAACCTCTCACAACAAGAACCTACAGTAGAAGCCAGAAAGTTGGAACATCATTGGCCTCATGCCCTTAAGGTAAAGTATAAGGGATCCTAGCACTAATCCTCCTAAAGTCATGTTCCAACTTTCTGGCTTCTACTGTAAAGCCACCTCGTAACAACCAAGGAGTAATTCCCCCAAAACAGCCCAAGGAGTTGCTCACCGAGTTTGCAAACAAGACCCTGAAGGAGGGCAAGGCGCGACCCGTTCGGCTGGGTTAAAACCCTAAACGCCCTAAACCCCTACACCCTAAACCCTCAGCCCCAAAAGAAGAGTTTCAGGGCGTAGTAGGGTTTTCGGGTCTTCTCAAAGTCCCGGAGTGCTAGACTTGCCTGCTTCCTGGGGCCGTGCTTCCTTATAGGGGCAATTATGAAATCGAAGTCGGAGTTGTTTTACTTTGGTCTCTTCGGAATCCAATGGGCGCAGGCTCTAGACACTAAGTCCTAGAACCCTAAATCCATGAAACCGCAAGCTCTCAAACCCGAAAGCCCTAAACCCTAAAACCTTAAAGCCCTACAGCCCAAAACCCTGAAACCTGAAAGCACTAAAGCCCCCATTTCAAAACCCTAAAGCCTTATTGGCTGTAAACTTAACTTTTCAACTTTTGGGCTTCTTATAAGGTAGTCGATTCTGAAAGTTTCAACTTTTATTCCCTTGGGTTTTGGGCCAATGAGAAGCCCGAAACCGTAAAGCCCTGACCGACAACCTTCAGAACTTTTGAGGAGGGGGCTTTTAGTCCAGAACGGAGTTTAGGCTACTATTTGCTTAAGAACCACCAAAAAAATAAAAAATGTATTCCTTATAGGGATAATATAGGGATTATCATTTTTTATTTTTTGGGTGGTTCTTAAGCAAATAGTAGTAGGGTCAATTTGAAGATCTGGGTTCGAGGGCTTAGGGGGTTTCTGAGGGTTTTGGGTTTTGGGGTTCATGGTTTAGCGGTTTAGGGTTTAGGGTCTTAGGGCTTAAAGGTTTAAGGAGTTGAAGGGGTTAGGGGTTTAGGGGTTTAGGGGTTTAAGGAGTTGAAGGGGTTTAACAGGTTTAGGCGTTTAGGGTTCAGGGCTCAGGCGGTGTGGGAGTTTAGCGTTAGGGTTCAGGGGTTTAGGGGTTTAACGGTTTAGGGGTTCAGCGGTTTAGGTCCAGCATTAAGGGTTTAGGTTGTAGGGTTTAGGGGTTTAGGGGTTTTTGGGGCCCGAGGGCATGGAATGTCGGATTTTTGGGCACCTCGAGCCTCATCGCAAATTCTGAGAAACGCACCGCCGATCCTTTCAAGGGAACCACGCAGCAGCTGGGCGCGTTCTCAGCAATGTCAAATGTTCAGTTTGAGGCTCCTGCCTTTGATGATGTCGGCCTTGGGAAGGAAGCTGCGAAGGTGATATCGCAGCTTGATCTGGCAAAGAGTGCCGGCTTTGACGGACTTATGGTCGGAGCAACATCCAAGGGTTTGTTCTTGAGCACTGTCGGCGAGGATCTCGACCAAACCTGACAGCTCAGGGTGTACTTCTCCGACGAGACCCTCCTGCACAGATGGTGGTGGCACCCTGTTTCCTAACAGTGGTGCTGGGAAGGGGCAATTAGCAGCCTCTGCTTGTTGTTCATCTTGCTCGCGTTAGTTCCGCCTGGGGGTTTAGGGTATTGGGTTGTTGAAGGCGAGAAGGTTTAGAGCTTGGGACCCCTCCAAGACCGCCAAAACCTGACAATCTTGAAGAGTGAGCCCAACCCCAAATTTCAAACCGCGCCGAAAACCCTTCACCCCAAACCGAAAGCCGAGAAGCCACAAAGGCCGAAAGCCAACCAAACCCTAAACCGAAGGCCGAGAACCTTTAAATGACCCATCTCCCCCACCCGAAACCATCATAACCCAAGCCCAACCTAGAATCCCAGCCCAAGAACCCCAAAACCCCCACAGAATGAACCCACTGCCAAGCCCTGAAGCGGAATCCGACAAGCCCTAAAGAGTGAACCTTGGAAGCTCGCTATTAAGTGAAGGCATTCCCACAACCAGGCGAAGACCTTACGGAATGAACCCAACCCCCCTCAACCCCAAACCGGAAGCATTGAATTGCCTAGAGTCAAAACCCAAGACCCAGACCCCGAGGATCCAAAAAGTAGATCACTTAATATGGGTTCCTATAAAGTACCCTTAGTAGTATAGGGCTCCAAATTAGGGGCTCTACTTTCCCTTATAGAACCCTAAACCCTAAACCCTAAACCCTGAACCCGTAAACCCCTAAACTCCTAAGCTCTAAACCCCTATAGATTCCTTTAAAGGAACCCCCTATAGATCCCTACTTTCTAGATCCTCCCGGGATTCTGGGGATGCTGGCCAGGTCATCCCCGGCTTCGGCCATGCTGTCCTTCGCAACACGGACCCGCCGATTGGCTGCCCTAGAGTGTCGGGTTTAGAGTTTAGGGTTGAGGGCTTAGGGTTTAGGGTTTAGGGGTTTAGGGTTTAGGGGTTTGGGGTTTAATTAAGGGTTTAGGGTTTAGGGGTTTAGAGTTTAGGGTCTAGAGTTTCTTATGGGCTGTAAGCTCAACTTTTCAACTCTTGGGGTTCTTATAAGCTAGTCGATTCTGAAAGTTTCAATCTTTATTTCCTTGGGTTTTGGGCCAGTGAGGTTTAGGGTTGAGAATTTGGGTTTAGGGCTTAGGGCTGGAAGGGTTGTTGGGGGATTAGGCTTTGGGGCTTTGATTTGCATTGGGGTTGGGCTTTAGACAGTTTTGAGGCTGCAGGGGTTGGGGCGATGGGGGTTATAACGTGGTATTTGGGGTTGTCCTAAGCCCTAAACCCGAAATCTGATTTTGGGGCTCCATTTAAAGGGGTCTATAAGGCACCTATGAGGGTACTATAATAATGTAGGAACCCAGCGTGCGCAGGGTTTAGATCTCTTCGGGTTTTTCGGCTGTTGGGGCTGTAGGGCGGCTTTACTTGACTCTTGATTGATGCCTAGCTCGCAGGCCGTCTCTTTGCATGCAGTAGCCTAGTCTACGCGACCAGGCTATCGTAAGCCACGATTGATGATGGAACCCCGAGCCGGAAAACTTAACCGTTGCTTGGAGGGTCGGGGGACTTAGTAACTGGTTATTTTATAGACTTATAAGTACCATAACCCCAATTAGGGTCCCTTTTAGGGTACTTATAAGTCTACTTACTACCTACTTACTAAGTCCCCCGACCCTCCAAGTGCGAGTTTAGAGTTTAGGGCTTGAGTGTCATGCAGGCTTGACTGTTGGCATCCCTCAACGAACAAAGACACTTCGTGGTGTTCGGAAATGATGTGACCTATAAATCATGGTCGAGGCCTGAACAGTAAGTAGCACTATTCCCTCAAGTCGTATTTCTCTCTACGGTAAACCCTCCAAAACTCTACTGGACTCATTAAGGCTTCTCTACTATCCTAAACCCAAAACCCAAACACCCAGCTTAGGCCCTAAATCTTTGTCAGAGTTGGGTAACATTTTACAGTTTTATGGGTACTTGAACCCAATAAGAAATAGAAATGTACATGGTTAATCCTATCCCAACAATGAACTAGAAATCTGAGACGGCAGTCCATCATCCATAAACCTCTCCGGCCTGAATCAGTACCTATACGTTCCATCAGGGTTTCTGAGCATAACTAACGCTTTTCTAGATATGAAGGCCCCCGGATTACTCGGTCGCCCAGGCGGTAGTACAGGGGCCAGAAAATTTGCATTGCTGTTCCTTGTGGTTTCTTAATACATTTATAGTACTAGAACTCTGACAAGACTCACTAAGGCTCGTAGTTGATTGCGACCAGGCGATACATGCTGGAGCGGGAGTTTGCTCTGGAGCACTGCCAAGAGGACCAACTTGCGGGGATACTCGTAATGGCTAGAACAGCCATGGTTTAGTATTATAATATCAATAATACTAGTAACATTATGAATATACTAATATTAATACTAATAATGCTAACAATACTAGTAATACTAATAGTACTATATTATTAATAATACTAATAAAAGATGTGATCTACACTATTCTTGGGCACAGACTTCCCTCATGGTACAAGGCTAAATGCACATAGCCCAAACCGCTGAACCCTAAAAACCTCCCTCCCTCGAATCGCCGTAGAAACCGTGCTGAAGACCTCTACAACTCCATGGAAGCCCACTGAGCCCCAAACAACACTAAGCGCTAGAACAGAGGCTCCCACACTGACCTCAACCAAAAACTCCGCACCACCTGACCCGGACCCCGAGCAGGAAATCCGGAATCTCAAGCCCCGCACCTTTGGGTTGTTGTGTTTTGAGCAGAACCCTGAAGCGTCTATGACCCCTAAACCCTGCATGCACCTGAAAATCTACATCGAAAGATTGAGTTTCAAACCAAGGTCGGCAACAACAGGAGCTTTACAGCCTTTTCCCTTTTTGGGTAAAATTCTTCTAAGCCCTTGTCGAGCCTCCTGCACCTCAGAGACCCGCCTACATAAAGCGCCTATAGCACCCTTACATGCCGTGTTAACACCGCTCCCAATGAAACCTTTCAAGCTTTGGCAGCCGAATACAGCCTTCTGGCTACATTGTTGCTTATATGCGCCCTCACGGGCTCTAAACCCCGAAGAACGGAGGCTTCGATTCCTTCCATACAATGATTTAGGGAAGTTAAGGGGCTGAGTAGGTGACCTTTAACCTTCTTGGCGCTTATATAATCCTACAATAATTCACTTAACCCCTAAGCCCTAGACCCCTAAACCCTAAACCCTCCACCTTTTTTGTGCTAGGGTATTCAGTCCCTGAGATGATAAGGAACTGTCCAAAATCCTTGGGCACAAGGATCCCTACAGTAGAAGCCCAAAAGTTGGAAACCCCATAGCCTCAATCCTCAGCAGTAATGTATAGGGAATCCCAGCACTATTTGGCCTTAATCCGGTTTCCAACTTTGTGGGGTTTACTGTAGAGCCCGAAAGCTTTACACCCTTATATCGGTCTAAGGCTAGAAGTATGGCCCCTAACATGGACCCTTAGGCCTTTTTGAGGGAGCTCTAGGGACCCTTACGACTCTATATAGGGTATATAGTAGGTATTTAAGGATCCCAGGGTTAAGGGTCCATAGCCCAGCCCTAACTCCTGAAATCCCTCAAGCAACAACCTCAGGAGGACCCCCTCTTGGAACCCCTAAGCCCTAAAGCCCTAAAACCCTGAACAGACACTCTGGAGGACCCCCCCCCCAAAGCCCTAAACCCTAAAACCAAGAACCCTGAAACCCTGAACCCTAAAACCCTGAACCGACTCTGGGGGACCCCCACTTCGAAGCCCTTAACCCTAAACCCAACAAACCTGGGCTTGGAGAACCATACAAAGCCCAGACCCTAAACCCTAAACCCTAAACCCTAAACCTTAAACCCTAAACCCTAAACCCTAAACCCTAAAACCCTAAACCCTAAAACCCTGAACCCTAAGACCCTGAAGAAACTCTGGAGGACCCGCTCTTCCAGCTGGTGGATGCTTGCTACCAAGCCATCCCGAAGGTCTTAGAGAAGCAGGGCAAGGCGCCCACCACTGCTCTTTTGTTTAGGGTTTAGGGTTCTTCCTGCTCTTTTTTCCTTAAAACGGCGCTTAGTTTTTTTGGTTTAGGGCTGGTTTGGGGCTTGCACCACTGCTCTTTTTTCTTCCTTAAAACGGGCTTAGGTTGCTTTTAGATTTAGGGTCTGCACCGCTGCTTGTGTGTTTGTCCGTCTTCTTTTTGTTGTTTTGTTGAGGGTTTGCGCCTGTCTTGTGTGTTTGTCTTGGAGTTTAAAGATTTCAGGGGGTTTAGGGTTTAGGGTTTGTTTTAGCATTTTTGGGTTTAGGACTTTCGGATTTCAAGGTTTGCGGTATCTTGAGGGCCTCAAAGGAGCCCTCAAAAATCCAACTTGGAGTAGATAAACCGTAAGGCCAAAAAACCTAAAATCCCAAACAACCCAAAACCCAAAAACCCTGCGCGCCCTGAACTGTGTCATGGTTGGGTAGCATTTTACATTTTTATTGGTGCTTAAACCCAATAAGGAACAAATTCAAGTTTTTAATCCTATCCCAACCATGAACGAGTGAACGGACCCTGAAACATCTCTGAACCCTACCTAAAGCCCCAAAACACAAAACTCTTAAACACGAAGGTAGAGAATCCTTACAGCACCCTTAAAATACCCTTTTTGATATTTGAGTGCGCCAGGAGTTTTGGGGGTGTTTATACGGGCTTTATAAGTTGTAGTGAGGGCATCATTGTAAAATAGGCCTGGAAAACCCTACTCTTGCATTGAGGGTTTGGGAATTAGGGGTTCGGGTTTAGATGTGGGGCTTCGTGTTCAGGATATAAGGTTTTGCTCCCTTCGAGGTTTGTAACTCAGCCTGATTTTGAGCATTGTACGTGGGTTCTGGCCTCTTCGTCCCGGGATTGTCGGCATCTAGGCCAGAAGCATTCTGTTGCTCTTTCCCTGTCGGGGGCCCCTTACAAAACCTGAATACGATGACCGAACAGACACGCTCCAAGACACCCTAAACCCTAAACCCTAAACCCTAAACCCTAAACCCTAAACTCTAAACCCTAAGCCCTATATAACAGCTATACTGTGAAGCCCCAAACCCTGAACCCTGAATAACTTCTGCAGGGTCTTGCGGTTGGTCACCATATATTATAGATCCCTTATAAACCCCTTCAAGGATCCCTTTAAAGGGAACCCTATTCTAATTATCTAGGCCCTTATGTTAGTTGTAAAAGGTGCCCTGCAGCCTTACCCTGAACCTCAAATGTCCTTGATATTATCAACCCTTACCGCTGAGCCCTGGCAGTTCATCATCTCAGCCCAGATGTAAGTCCTAGAACCTATATATCCTAAGCTTCTTATTTTCGGGTGTAAGATTTACTGTTTAGGGTCCGGGGCCTTAACAATTAGAATATGGTTTTGCGGGTTCCTGATTATGATCATACTATACTGGGCCCTATTCTAAAAATTAAGGCCCCTACATTATAGACCCCTCTGAAAGATCCTTATAGAACCCTTACAGGAATAAGAGACCTCAGCCCTACACCTGAGAGAGATGCGGCACGCACAGGTCAAGAACCCCTTCCCGAATGTCGATGCGCACAGTGGCCAGTTGATGTGACCTTGTCTGCAACAGTGGCAAGCTCTATTGTAGGGAGGGGTTCGGGGATACGGTTCTGGGTTTAGGGTTAGGGTTTAGGGGGCCTGAAGAACAGGATTCCTCCATAGCTCGACTTGGGTTTTGGGGCTTATGCTAGCTTTCTTATATTGGGACTATAACTAGGACCCAGAGTAAGCCCTTATTCCCTTTTTTGGGGTTCAGGTTCCCTTATAAACCCCCTTTGAACCAAAAAGGGCGCCCTTTTTATTACCAGGTTACTCCTGGGACTATAATGCGTTTGATTTCTCCGAGATTCACTTAAGCTACCCGAGCTTCCTCTTATTGGCAGGCCCCCTAGAAATGCAATCTCCACACCCTTTTATGTTGGGACCTTGAGGTAGCATGGCGATGACTAGGAGGCATGTATAGGATTAGATGTTTAGGGTGAGGGTTTGGGGCTAACTATGTACGGCTCGGTGGTTCGTGGGCTTTAAGCTTTACTGTCGGGCTCTGAACAGCCACTAATATTCATTAGGGATCCTTTATTCGCTAGGAACGGTTCATTCTAGGTGCTTGGCTGAATATAAGTACAGTACTGCTCGAAAAGAGGCTCCCCAAAATTTTGTGGCGAAAGACCTGCAATGCAAGTCGTCGCTCGAATGATTACTTAGGCCTGTATACTATACTGCCTACCCACAGACCCAGAGATCCCAATACCCCTTATTTACTTGAGGAATATACTGTAAATCATAATACTAAGGCCCCTACACTCGGCGTTCTTCTGGTTGACTCTTAAGACTTTAACTTTTCGGGCGTCTATATGAACTATAATAGGTATGCTAACAGTTCGACTTTTAGGAGGGGTTCAGAAGTCGGCCAAGTATAGTTTAAGGTCTATTCCTTAATTTAGGGGTATTGGGTCCTCTGGGTACTCTGGGATTTCGGTTTGGGGTTCCTAAACCCTAAACCCTAAAAGTTTCAGGGCTTTCGCCTCGCAGCGCTGAGGCACTTCTACAATCTCAAGGAGCAGAATTTCTACACGGCCGGGAGCTCAGATCTTGCCCACGAACGCTAAACGGGTGTAGTTTAGGATTTAGGGTTTAGAGTTTAGTGTAGGGTTTAGGGTTTAGGGTGTTAGGGTGTTAGGGTTTCAGGGTTTAGGGTTTAGGGTGTTAGAGTTTCAGGGTTTAGGGTTTAGGGTAAACCCTAAATCACAACCCCGCTAAACTCCAGGCCTGTAGAAGGGGTTTAAGAGGTTTAAGGCTTTGGGATTTCTCAGATTTACGAGTTTAGGGATCTTGCCCGAACCCTCAACCATTTTTTCATTGGGCCGGAGCATTTAAAAAAGCGAGAGTGCCCAAAGGACACAAGAACTTCTAAATTATCTCGAAGTTGCAAGGTACGGAGACTTCGTCGAGACTTTGAGCGAGGAATACATTCATACTGCAGTGGACCACTTTCTATCACAAGGACAAAAAATCAGCTTTTTGACTCTCCAGGGGTTCATAGGGGGAACAACTACTAGGACCCAGAGTAGGCCCTTATTCCCTTTTTTACGGTTCAGGTTCCCTTATAAGCCCTTTTAAACCAAAAAGGGCACCCTTTTTATTACCAGGTTACTCTTAGGTCTAGACTAGCACTGAAGAAGATGAACCCGCAGAGTCTGAACTGGGAGAAGGCAGTGGCAAAGGAAGGTACAAGGGATTTTCGTCTGAGGCAGAGATCATGGCTGCACTCCGGCAGAAAGCAACGCTTTTCACGGCTGCTGGAGGTCAGGCAACTGGAGATGCAGCCTAAACCCTAAACCCTAAACCCTAAACCCTAAACCCGAAACCCTAAACCCTAAACCCTAAACCCTAAACCCGAAACCCAGCTGCAGCTGGATCAGAAGAACCAGCTCATGATATCCGAAACCGAAGATCAGCGGAATGACCTGCTGAATGCATGGCGACATAGTCACAACAGAGGTCTGCTACAAGCTCCCGGATCAGAGGTCTGAGTTCACTACGAAGTACCCAGAGACTCCAATATCCCTTAATTATTAAGGAATATACCTTAAATCATATTAGGGATCCTACTATAATTTAAGGTATATTCCTTAATCAAGGAATATTGGAGTCTCTGGGTACACTTTCTTCACGGACCGAAAGTGGCTGGCGGACAAGCGAGACCCAGACGGTGATACTTTTTTGGGATCCGCGCAGATTCGAACGCCTGCGTCCAACCCCATGCTGTTCATTGACAGCCAAGCAGGTCACGGGGCACAAAGCCTAGTCATGAGCTTTAACAGGCGTCAGCTACTGGACCTGGGGTCATATCTGGAGCTTAACAAAAAATCCCAAACCCCCTAAACCCTGGGCTTGTTGAAGGGCTTTTAGAGTTTAAGGTTTTAGGATTTCTAAGTTCAAGATTTAAGAAGGTTCAGGATAAAGAAGCTTAGGGATTAAGAAGGTTTCGGCTTCATAAGCTTAGGGTTTGATTATCAGGACTTGTAAGTTGAGGGTTTTAAAGTTTAGGATTTATGAGTTTCGGGTTCAAGGTGCAGGAAGTTTAAGATTACGAGTTCAGGGTTCAGGTTAACCCGGAATAACCTACCTTTTTAAGGACTTATGTGAGCAAATCATAATAAGGAAGCCTACGAAGGTTGGTTATTCAGGGTTAAGGTGGGGTGTTCGCTTACTTGGAGGATCATGGGACTTAGTAACTATAGTTATAGGTTCCTTAATTGGGGTTATAAGTAACTAGAAGTATAGTTACCCCAGCAAAAATCCTAGTTACAGCCCCATGATCCTTTAAGTGGACGTCGGAGTGTGAAGGTCCGGAGCGCTACCTTGAACCACGAGGGTTTACGGTTCAGGTTTACGGTTTAGGGGTTTAGGGGTTTAGGGTATAGGATTAAGGGTTTACGGTTTAGGGTTAGTGAAGTTCTGTGGTGGTGTAGGACTGCTTTTTTGGTGGTTAGGGCTTAGGGTTCTGTGTAGGGTTTCAGGTTTTTGGCTGTAGGGATTCGATTAATAGTGGGTTTTGGCTTAAGCTTCTGCGTTGAGAGGCTCTGGGGTTCGAAGATCTAAGCCCAGACCCAACAGCCTACACCCGAAACCCTAAGCCGTGAGCCTAAAGCCTCCATGGCTCAAGACCCAAACTCAAACCCAACGCGCTGAAGTCGACAATGCGGCTTAAGCCTTCCCGGTCTTGGCTTTAAGAGAAGCTCCCCACCAAAGTTGGCTAAGGGTTAGCACGTGTTAGTACCGGCAGTCGTCTTTGTAGTCAGTAAAAGGCGCCGTCGTCGTCGTCGTCGTATTCAGTAGCGTTCCGCAATGACAGTGTATGGTACGGAGCCCACCCAAAACGTTGCTTGATTATGCAGGCTTCTACTACATTATTCTCAAAGGTTCGGGCTCCCCTCAGCCAATCAGGTGGTCTTCGCCGTGTCGCGGACGTCCCCTGGCATCACTAGATTAGGGCTGTGGGGAGATTTGAGGTGGCTCTTCTGTCCTTTGATTGGGGCTTTCGAGGAGAGTGGCAGGTTGTCTGAACAACTGCAAGGGACCCCTTCCCTACCCAAAAACTTTAAAACGCTAAACCCTAAATCCCTACAACCCTAGACCCTCAACCCTAATTCCCTAACACCCTAATCCCTAAACCATAAAATTAAACAAAAAAACCTAAAACTCTAAACCCCCAAAAATAAAGCGCCCCTTAAACGAACCCTTAACCCTAGAAGCCTAAACCCCTTAAAAAGCAAGCGCCCCTTCACTGGGTTCTTGTCTAGGAATTTAATTTAGGCTATCATAATGGGGATCTATAGTAAATAATATGCTTTGCTTATAACGGGTAGCTTAAACTAAGTTCCTAAAGTCTAAACCCCAAACCCTGAATCCCTATCGATCCCTTATGTTTGATAACTTATCTGAACCATTCTGGATCCCTTTAAAGGAAGCCTTGAAGGAACCCTCAACCCTAAACCCCCTAAAAACAAGAACCCCCTCCAGACACCTCTTTTGGAACCCTACGGAATAGTACATCCTTGCAATAGCCCTTATAGTAGCCCCTCTAGACCCCTCCAAAGGAACCCTAAGCCCTTGCGGAGGCTCGGCGTGATGGCTCAGTACGTTTGGTCCCGGGCTATCGGTCTTCCTATTGAGCGCCGGGGGCCCCGAGTCGAGCAGATATGTGGGTGGTTGTCAAAATTATGGTAGTAGCTTTAAAGGGCTCCTTAAAGGGATCTATAGGGTTCCTTAAAGGGAGGAATCTATAGGGTTCCTTAAAGGATCTATAGGGTTTAGGGTAATATAGACTTGGCGTTCTTCTGGTCGGCTCTTAGGACTTTAACTTTTTGGGTTTCTATATGAACTATAGTACGTAGGCTAAAAGTTTTACTTTTAGGAGGGGTTCAGAAGTCGGCCAAGTTTTGAGTACCCAACATAATAGGTGCCGTATTATCATGAGGACCAAACAGGGACCCTTATTTTGACAACCACCCATGTGGGTTTAGGGTTTGAAGTTCAGATGTTTAGGGTTTGTGGTTCAGATGCTTTTCACAAATGTTTGACCGGGCTTTGATAGGATTACTGTAGGGCTTCATATGCATATTCGTACATATATATATATATATATACATAACATATATATATATGTACATAATAGATGTGTGTGTGTGTATACATAATATGTTGTGGTGTAAATGGCGAGGTTTACTGGTGTTGTTTAGGTTTAGGGGAATAGGATTTGACAGCCTCTTGATCCGAGCCTTACAGAAAGCCCTAACCCGACACACTATTTAACTATTTAATAGTGTTCCGAGTAGGCCCTTATTCCCTTTTTTGAGGGTTCAGGTTCCCTTCTACACCCCCTTTGAACCAAAAAGGGCGCCCTTTTTATTACCAGGTTACTCCTGGGTCTAGTATTTAATAGTGTTGGGTTAAAGGATTGCCGGGGCTTCAAAGGTTTCCGATTTTGGGGTTCAGTCTTAGTCATGAATGTAAGCGTTCAACGCTGTATGGCAGCCTGAGTAACACAAGACACGAGCCACAGATTGAGAAAGTCACAGAAAAGCTCTAATTGGAGATTCAGGGCGCCCATAGCCTGATTCATACTCTCTTTCTGAGTGCATTGCGTCAACAGGAGTCTCCAAACTACTGTCGCCTAGGCTACGCTTGGATTTTCAACCACCCGCCCATACCGGTTGGAAACAAAGAAACACAACGCACCTCAAGAAGATTCAAGTTACTATACACTAAACCCTTATAGTAGCCCTTATAGTAACCCTTAAAGACCCTTTATAAGAACCCTTTTTCAAAGGAGCCCTATTCTAAGTATGCTCTCCAAGCACAAAGAACTCCTGCTGCCGGCAAGGCCCCAAGTCTTTGCCCTTGGATGAACTCGACCGACTCCAGAAGAAGCATTGGTTCCAGAAGAAGGGAGCCCAGGACTCTCCTCACGGAAAGCATTTAGGGTTTAGGGGATTGGGGGTTGAGGGGTTCAGGGGTTTAGGGGTTTAGAGTTTAGGGGGCTCCTCACTGAAGGCGTTTGCTTAAAGGAGCAAGGGACTTGGTAACTTTAAAGGGCTCCTTAAAGGGATCGATAAGGTTCCTTAAAGGGATCAAAAGGGTTCCTTAAAGGGATCTATAGGGTTCCTGAAAGGGATCTATAGGGTTCCTTAAAGGGATCTATAGGGTTTAGGGCCTACTTAACGGATCATGGGATTTAGTAACTAGGGTTATTATTGGGGAAACTATACTTATAATTACTTATAACCACCATTAAGGGACTTATAACTATAGTTACTGAGTCCCGTGATCCTTCAAGTCGGGTTTAGGGAACTCCGTTGACGTGGCCTTGTATGGCCTTTGGAAAGGGCGCACTCCTGGCTAGACAGCGAAGGGCCTTCTTTGTATGATTGCAGGACAATTCCTAAGTTCGGTCGTCGGGTTTTCTGGGTTTTCGGTCTAGGGTTTAGGAGTTGCAGGAGCGTACCGAACACCTTTGGCCTTGGCAGACGGAGGTCCGTTTGTAGGTTTGTTGCAAAGGTTTCTTCAGCTGTTTATAAGGTTTTACAGTGTCGTTACAAGGGATCCCTAAACCCTAAACCCTAAACCTAGGGTTTAGGACTGTACCGTATAATGTCGATCCCTCAAGAATCGGCGCCTTGCTGATCCATAAGGACTTGGGATCCCAAAACCCTATAATCAGGAGCCAGAGAAGCACCCAAACATAAACTTTCGGCTCGGATATCCCTATCTTATTGGCTTGTTTAAAGAGGGGATTCTGGGATATCCCAACCTTATGCTGTTGTTTAGGTCCTTTTCTGGGTCCCTATATAACAGTTATAGCGACCCTGACCTTAACCCCCTCAGAGCAGCCCTTAAACCCTAAGCCGAAGCCCCAAACCATAAATCTAAGACATTTACAGGTGGGTAGTTATAAGGTGGGTAGTTTCCCTTATGGGAGTACTATGGAAGAGGAACTACCTACCTGTAAGGGGCTTCTAATAAACCCTAAACCCGAAGCCCCGAAAAACCACCCCAAACCATATGAACCTATCAGCTCGTACTACACCCTAGACCCAAAACCTCCAAGCGCATCTCTAAACCGGAGGAACCTATAAGCCTCTTACTACACCCTAGACCCTAAACCCCCAAATACATCCCTAAACCACATGAACCCTAAACTTTAAACCCTAAACCCTAAACCGAAATTATCAGCCCTCGTAGCCTGGTGAGCTCATCGTCCGACCTCCAACTTGGAGGTTCTGGGGTACGCTAGGGGGCCTGGCTTCCTCTAGCCGTTCCTTAGTTGCTGAGTGGGTTCAGGGTTTAGGTTTTAGGGTACACTTTACACATGTTGGGATAGTAGAACCCTTATAAACTGAAGATGTAAACTTTGTGTTGGCCTTATGAACTTAGCAGCTGAAGCTCAAAAAGAGTACGAAAGGTGCTACAAGGGTGCCTTTAAGGCTTTTAGAACGGTGCCGCAAGGGCTCCTGATTAGTACTTGGAGGATCATGGGACTTAGTAAGTAGGTTATAAGTGGGGTTATACGTCCCCTAAGTGGGGTTATCCTAAGTATAACTTACTTATAACCTTACTTACTAAGTCCCATGAGCCTCCAAGTAAACTTCCTGTCCTTAACGGCACGCATTCGCATCACGACTACGTACAATGCAGTATCGCTTGTTTAAATGCTAATGAAAGCATGCGGGTTTGACACTCGCGTGCCTGTTGATGTCTGCAAACTAGCTAGAGCTGTGTGCACAAGGTTTATGCACTTATAACCTATTCAAAACGGATTAGGTTTACGGCTTAGGACCTAATTACCGCGGTTTAGGGCTTATAGCGTAGCTACAGCGGTTGGGGTTTCGGAGGTATACCCTAATCACAGCCTGGGTATCTATGGTTCGGGCTTTCATGTGGGCCCGGAATTACGGGTGTACTTAGTACTGGGTTGTAAGTATATCCGATCCTCCAAGATAATGCTCTTAGGTCTTCTTCTTTAATACACCCCAAAAACCTATTCTGATTGTTCATGTCCCGAAGATCTCTACCCAACGCACTGCACAGCGAAGGAGTCTTCCGACCAGCAGTAAATGGACGCTCTTCCGCCCGGTGTATGCTGCTCCAAGAGGAGACAGGTTGCAGGAGAATCCACAAAAGGAGCCCCTAAACCCCAAACCCTAAATCTACCCTAGACCCTGAATCCTGGACCCTAAACTCTGAATCCTAAACCCTAAATCCTAAACCCTAAACCCTAAACCCTAAAACCCTAAAACCCTAAACCCTAAAACCCTAAAATCCTAAACCCTAAACTCTGACTCCTTCATGGAAGTTCTCAACATTTCAGCCCGGAATCTGCTCGGGAAGATCTCTCCGCAACTCGTTGCATAAGCCCCAGCACGCCCAGAGGAACCGCCAGACTTGGGCTAGGTGAAACACAGCCTAGGTGCAGAGTTTTGGGTTTAGGGTCCCGTGTTGAGACTTTGTCTCCCCGCGAGAGTGAACATGTAGTTGCCTATTCTTGGCTCTTATTATTACATGGAGAGACGGTATGTTCATTACCTGGTCCTAATTGACTTGGCAACCCGCGGTTGTCAGGCCTTTCGAAACCTCGTCATTCTCTACTAGTCTCAACAGCACTAAACCCGCAGTCCTTGCGTGAGTGCTAAAGCATGTGCTAGCATTGTGGATTGCAAAACATCAACTGCTACAAGCTACAACATGACTATGATTTCCCATGTGGGCGTTTCCGAAAAGAGGGAACCCTAGTATAGTACCCTAAATAGTAGGATCCTTATTACAAGGACCCCAAAAGAAGGTACCCCATGGTACCCCTAATTTTCGGAAACTCCCATGTAACACACAAACCCGAAACCGTAACCTGTAAGGTTGTTCGGAAATCCTACTTAAAGGATCATGGGACTTAGTAACTACGGTTATTATTGGGGTAACTATACTTATAAACTTATAATTGCTTACAACCCCAATTAAGGGACTTATATCTATAGTTACTAAGTCCCATGATCCTCCAAGTAGACACCAAAACCTATTCGGAGACCCTGAGCCCAAAAGACCAAACCCCGACCCTAAAAGGTAACCATTACGGTTTAGGGTTTAGGGTTTCGGGTTTGGGGTTTAGGGTTTAGGGTACGGTTTCGTGGATATTGGGGCAAGAGGCGTCCTGCGGATTCTCCTGCAGCCCGCTCCTTTGAGATATGCTTTCGAGCCGCTTGCTTGGAGAGCATGTGGGCCCGTCCCAGAATGACATGAGATCGAGATTATAGTATTGAGGTTGCGGGTCTTAGTAGTTCAGCGCGTAGCATTTAGAGTTTAGGGACCTGCGCACGGTTCAGAAACTCGCAGGCTATACATACATTCTTATTTTTTTGTTGCAGCGTCTCTTACCTCCAATATGTTCTAGTCCATGGTGCCTCAAAGCATTAGGGCTTAAAATCTTACTGCTTGCCCTCGCGCGGCAACCAGACATTTCCTGCTTCAGAACGTGCAGAAGATTATCGTTGAGGAGTGGCAAGTAGTTCCGTCATGTTCCCTCGATAGCAGCAGTCCAGCTGTTGAAGGGGTTTTGTCTCATGGAAGAGAGCTGAAAGCTCCACGTTCCATTGCCCCCCGTGAAAGGGGGATTTCAAACAAGTCCAGACTCGTCCGAAGCTACGATGCGACAAAAATGGCTGGGGCCTAACCTAGCCGTCGAGTAGGTAACCTTTAACCTTTTTTGGGTAGTATAGTCCCTATATAATCCCTATATAACCAAACAGTATAACCTTTAGTTCCCCATGATACCCGACAAGTAGGCTAATACAGCAGCCAGAATAATTACCAATACCATTTTGGGGGGTTCCTTACTATCAATATAGCATAATGGGTCCCAAAACCCTATTCTGATTTTTAAGGCCCCTATATTAGTCTGACGGCCTGAATATTTGGTCTTACTGTTTTTTTGGTTTTTTTTGCGACATTCGTACTGTAAAATCCACCCACAACCTAGTCTAGTTATCGAGGCCCCTGTATGAACCCGCAGGAACCCTATTCTAGTTATCAAGGCCCCTAGATTTACCCACAGGAAACCCTAAGAGTTCGACTCATGGACCAAGCTAAGCAATGCACCTTACATGGTAAAGGTTAGAAGCTGCCCCCACCCTGTAGTAGTGACTATAAGGATTATATTAGGGCCCTATTATATTCCTGTTATACCACTATTACAGGGTGGGGGCCCCTTCTAAGGAAAAGGCATCCAAGGTCTGATCCAGCCTTATTCCTTGGTTAACCTTCAACCTTTCCCGGCACTTAGGGGTTGAGGGTTTAGGGTTTAAGGTTTAGGGTCTTACACTCCCCATGCACTCCGAAAGGTTAACCTTCAGTTCCCCGAGGATACTGGACATTTACGTATCGAAGCCTGAATAGTTAGTACTAGGATGCCCAGTAGTGCCCTTATTCCCTCTTGTAGTCCTAGATTCCTTACAAAGGTACCCAATACCAAAAACAGAGCCCTTTTTATTCCTAGGTTACTGGGCATCCTAGAGTAATGCTCGTCCGTAAGCTCCCTTATGGTAATGATGACAATGGGGGTACTGAACTCACAAGCCGGATATTAATCCCAAACCCTACCCTAAACCCTAAACCCCAGACCCTAACTCCAAACCCTAAACCCTAAACCACTCCAAACCCTAAACCCGATACTATTGCTGCAAAAAGGGCTATTGCACTTAAAATTAAAAAAAACCTATACTACCTGAACGCTAAGCTGCATCTTCGCAGGTGCTGACAGAGTGCCTCGAGCCAACTTCGCTCCGGGCTTTGTCATCTCTGCACCTCGCCTCTGTTGGTCGTTGTTATGTGTTTAGGGGCGTAGGTTCAGCTCAGGGGTACTTAGAAATAATTTTAATTTTTGGTTATTATACTCCCTAAGAAACAGCTAGAAAAATAATTGTTGCTAGGGTTCTAAGTTCAGTATAGTCAGGGTTCAGGGTTTGAGAATCTAGGTTCAAGCTTGTCGGGTTTTAAGATTTTCGTTGGTGGGCATTCTTCCGTTGGTGGTTTCGTGGCTTGTTCCCCGTTAGGGGTCGTAGCGGATGTTGTTTGTTTTTTTAATGTTCTCTTGGTGTAGTGTCAAAAGGTTTCGTTTATGAAGGTTTCCCTATCTAGGATATCTTGGATGCCGAAAAGAAGGCATCAGTCTTGTAATGCCAACCCGGAAAGGGGACCTCAAATTGGAGAACTTGGGTTTCTCCAAGTGGTTTACGGTTTAGGGGTTTAGGGTTCATGGTTTAGGCCCTCAACGCCTAAGTAGCCCTAATGGCTTGTATCGCTTCGGAGCGTTGAAGGTTTAGGGTTTAGGGTTTAAGTTGAGACATCGGTTGGGTACGGCCCCCACTCAGTAATAGTTGAATAATATTCATAATAAAGATATAGTAGGACCCTAACAGTAGTTGAATAATATTCGTAATAAAGATATAGTAGGACCCTAACAGTAGTTGAATAATATTCATAATAAAGATAGAGTAGGACCCTAACAGTAGCCCTATCATAGACTCTTACTGTATGGGGGCCGTACCTAAATTATCGGGTTTAGGGTTCAACTGTCTCGGGCTTTAGAGCTTTAAAACTTTTAGGCTTGTTGCATGTAGGGCCTTCAGAAATTCAAGGTTCTGGGGGTCTGTGCTTCCCAGAGAGCCCGATACCCCTAATTGAGGAATATAATTACCTTAAACTATAGGGGGCTTAGCATTATGATTGCTGGTCTATTCCCTAATCGGGGGGGTATGGGGCAGTCTGGCTTCTTCAGAGCTTAAACAGCTGTGACATCACCCAAGCTTTCACTTCCTGCGCAGACTCTCTGGCTAAGAGCGCTTCGGGCACGGAGGAATAACAGCTTGAGCGTCTATGCGTTGATTGCCCCGTAATCTTCTGCACTTAACCCCTAAACCCCACAGATCCTTTAAAGGATCCTAAACCCTAAACCCCATAGATCCTTCAAAGGATCCTAAACCCTAAACCCCATAGATCCTTTAAAGGATCCTAACCCCTAAACCCCATAGATCCGTTAAAAGATCCTAAACCCAAACACTATGATAATTAAAGGCAAGGGATGCCAGCGTCTTTGCTTTATGAACCAACCTCGTAAACCCTAAACTGAAAGGGGAAAAGGAGGGACCCTTAATGGGGACCCCTACCCTATAATGAGCTATATAATGGGTATATAATAGCTATATTAAGGCCATATACCTAGGGGTCCTTATTAAGGGTCCCTCCTTTTACCCTTGGATCCATTGAGAGATCCTGAGCCGAGCGGTTACCCCGAGCAGAAAGGTTATGGGTGTTGGGGCGGTGTAAAGAACCTGGCCAGAAACTGGCTACTATATCATGAAGCACAATTGGCACCCGACGATCCTCATTACGACCCTGACTACTTGGAGGATCATGGGACTTAGTAAGTAGGTTATAAGTGGGGTTATAAGTCCCCTAAGTGGGGTTATCCTAAGTATAACCTACTTATCACCTGACTTACTAAGTCCCATGAGCCTCCAAGTACAGCCTTTATTTCGGTGAGGAGCCAGCGCCTCGAGTGCCTTACGATACTCGGTACCGCCCGTGCGGCATTTGCGGCAAATGACAAATGGAAAAATAGAACTGGCGACCACCTCGGTCACGAAAGTGCATGTGGTTTAGAGGCCTTAATAATTAATATGGTTTTGAGGCCCATGCTACTATTATTATTATTATTATTATGAGGAACCCCCAAAATAGTATGGGTAGTTATTTAGGCCCCTATGTTAACCAAGCGGGGTAAGCGGAAAGCAGGACTTGCCAGAGTCGGAGGATGTGTTCATGGGCCCATACAAAGTTCTACAGCAGCTGTATGCTGGGCCGCCAAGATTCGTACAGAAACTCTGTAAAAGCTTGTCTTCCCAAGTAGGATAAAGACTCTAGGCCCAAAGCCCTAACCCCAATCCCCAAGCCAAGCCATAGCCCCTAAACGCTAGACCCTGTGCCCGAAGCCCTGACCCCCAAACCCTAAACCCTAAGCCTTAAACCCTTTGCCTTAGGAGTACTCAGAAATATTTTTTAATTTTTG